GTTTCTTAAATAACAGATATCATTGATACAACGTCTTTGTTTAAGTGGTAGAAAGTGGAACCTTTTGCAACTGTGACCGTAATCATCTGACCGTTGCTGCGCTTTGAAACTCAGAAATCGGAGAAATTTCCCTCAATTCGTGACTTATAAATATCATATTGGGGATTCCAAAATTGAGATTCATATTCTAAGTGGCTGCTTACGAATTAACAATATAGAACTTTAATTGGCTTAATGGATTTGAAGCAAGTTGTTCTAATTATGAATCCAATGGTCATACAGAAGTTTGCTATCTTCTATAAATCCAAATCCTTTATACTTTGCTGATTAACTGTTTATTATGTTTAAATTAGTATTTAATATTGGCCATGAACAAAATGAACAAAAAAGCGACCAATTTTCTATATAAGTCGAGAAACACTTCTACAGATCCCCATGGATGCCTGCCGTGTAAAACTTTTTAAGAGTACTTGATAGTCTATACGGTCAAAACATTTACTGTAATCAGTATATATGACGTCCACTTGTCGCTCGTGTTCCCTTCCTTGTGAAATAAATTTGTGTGACAACATTAAATTTGATGTAGTAAAACGATTCCTTAAAAGCCATGTTACTCTTCGCCAAAACTACCCTGTAATGCCGCATTTACATCAGCGTAGACTAAAATTTTAGAAAAAAGACATCTTAGATATGGGACGTTTGAAGATTGGCGTAACAAAAGCTGATTTCCATATTTTTTGGACTATCCCTTCCGACAGAGAGCATTCAAAAAGAATGCATAGTGGTACAGTTAAACTATGACAACTGACTATAAACAACTGACTATAAAAATCGGAGGTATAAAATCAGGTCCTCCAGAATTAGACAGGTCTAGGTTTTTCAGCAGCGTCAATAGACGAGACACATATTTCAATCGTGCTAATTCCCGCTAAACCATCAATGATGCAATGTTCGCTGCTCATTCTATGTGTATGAAACTATGAGAGTCAATAGGCGTATAGTCTGATTGTCGAAAAGTCGAATAAAAACATTTGGCGAATAAATTACTGATATCTTAACTCGTGCAAGCTATAATGTCCTTAAAATGCATTAAATTATGGTATGCATTACTTTGTCGTTTACTCTTAATATACAACCAAAATGACTTTGGATTTTTAATAATAGAGGATCTACATAAGTGTCAGTGTGTAAGTGTTTTATCTACATAAATGTCAAAATAAGGTTTTTCCTATTCAATTACTCGGCTACGAAGTAATGTGAAAGAGTGATAGTCCGAAATCTCCATATTTTTTTTTGGATGATATTTGTATTTTCTTTTTAACATTTTAATTAGAGCCGTATTGTACCATGAGATGATCGTTTCACAGTTTTTAATGGGATATATGTATCTCTTAGTTCATACAATTTGTCATAGAATTTAGTGACAACATTCTCTAAGGACTCCGTACATAAAAGTCATAAGTAAAGTTTATTCGATTTAGTGCAGAATTGATAGCTTCATAGTCTCTAATAGGTATCGATTAATTATTTATTTTATAAATGTCCGATGTATTGTTATTGTTTTAGATGATGGTATATATACCTGCTTACTTTCAATTTCGTCAAAAGTTCGACTAAGGTAAAGCATCTTTAGGGGTTAGGGTTACAGTTTTAAGTAGAAGTAAATTTCACTTTTTACTATTATTAGGATTAAGTACCTATGATATAGTTTCGTAGGTCAAGGGCATTAAGCTATTTGAAGGTTTTTGTATTAATTGTTTCCATTTTGTTATTCAAGTCCAGACATTAACACCACTATCCTATTTGATAGATTAAATTTGTTTAAATATGTATTTTATGGTTTGAAACCGATCTGAGACAATCCAAATACACGCTTGGCCATATTGTCAATTTTGTTTTCGAAAATAATTAAAAAAACTAAATTGCCCTGAAACTATTACGGCGGAAAATGAATAATTAATTCAGTCATCCGACATACTCGGTATAACACTGCTAATTTTAATGCTTCACTAAGCGTTCCATTAGCCGAGATGTAGCTCGGGGCTAAGGTGATTACTACCCTAGAGATGCGATCACGTGGAAGGACAAAAGGACGCGACCTCACTAATACATTATATTTGCTTTGGACCCGCAGTTTCGCTTGCCTTAATCCGATTTAATTTTGATTACAACTACATTAATTTAGTCAATTAATGTTTTTCAATCCAGAGACATAATATAATTAATGGGCTGGTTAAGAGTCCACTTTCTAACCTTTTTCTTAATATTAGATTTTTTTAAGTATTCATACTTTAAGTTTATTGAACTATTATTGTCCGCAGTAGTATATATTCAGGTATTAAAGAATGTTAAGTAGAGGTTTGTAGGTGTCGTGGCAATAGATTTATTTGCGTTTAAACACGATTTCAATGAAGATCTTATAACCTATCTAACTGTTCAGCATATTTTACCATTTTAACGGTATCCAAGTAATAATTCATGTAATATCTATAAAACTTTAGATATTTATCTGAGAAGTTATTGTTATTATTAGTGTGCGGCAACAATTTTCAAGCATAAATTATTTGAGTTTAATTTTAAAATTTCGTAATTGGAGCTCAAACAGTGGTCGAATGGAGAACAAACTTTTAATTAGTATGAAAAGTAATACAAAAAGTATGATAATATCATACTTTTTATAGAATAGGGGGCAAACGAGCGGTCGGGTCACCTGAGGGCCAAGAGCGAGTTTACTTCACTTCTACTCGATCGTCACAGTGACCGCGTTCGGCGCTAGGATTGGCGCTCTGAAATCTAACCGCCGTCGAAAGCGAGTCGATGTGAAATAAACTTGCACTCGGCTCTCTGATAGCAAGTGACTACTGCCGCCGCCCATAGACACCTGCAATTCAAGACACACAAGTGGAAGACATGGAATTTATTGCTACTTTTAAATCATATTCAATTGATGAAACGATTCGTTTTGGTCACTGATTTCACTTGTGATAAATCACTACTTAGAATTGGTCATAGACGAAGATTAATGCCATCAAAATCAATCAAACCGACCTTTTCTATTTAGATTTGGACCTTTCGCGTGTCTGGCGCTAGCCTAATAATATGTAATAACTAGTCGCAGTGATGTTGTAGATGAATCACAGGTGTGATAAAATAATTATAAAATCATATGAATGCAACAGGTGATTGCGATTTTATCCCATGCCTAGTTGCCGCCCTTTGAGTCCCTCCCCAATTCAGAATTCGGGCCTCTGGTAACTCACACACTTAATGAAAACGGTGCTGTTATTCCAGAAACCTCCAAGCACTTTTCTCTTTCTTTTGCAGTGATGATCCTAAAAGTATAGTAGGGGCACAAGTAGAGAAACGGAGTAAAAATGTGGGACTTCCACATGGGCTAGTCACTGAAGGTGGCCTAAAGGCCTGGCCTAAGTTGTTAAGTCCTAACTAGGCTAAATATATTCACCAAAATGGGTTTAGTTCCAATTCTACGAGTTGTAGGAGATAGGTAGACATTATGCAATGTGTACCATTCACAATTCTGTTAAATTTTGTTAGGACCCCATCAGATATACGAGGGGAGGTCCAAAAGTTCGTGGAATGAAAGGGGTTTAAATAAAATAAAACAATAAATCTATTTTTCCTTTTCAATATAATCACCCTTAAGCTGAATACATTTATTAGATCTATGAATTAATTTTTCTAAACCATCCAAAAAAATTTTTTTTCTTTGGCCACAAAATGAGCTAAAATGGCGTCCTTTACCTCATTGTCGTCGGAAAATTTCCTTCCCCTTAAGTCTTTTATTAAATTGGGGAACAAATAAAAATCAGTTGATACCAGATCTGGACTGTAGGGTGGGTGGACCAGTGTTTCAAAGCCACGCTTATGCAGAGCATCCATTGCAACTCTGCTCCTGTGAACAGGCGCGTTGTCCTGCAAGAGCAACACACCCTTGGTCAATTTTCCTCGACGTTTTTCTTTGATGGCCTACTTTAATTTCTCTAGTATCGTTGCGTAGTATTCTACGGTTATGGTCCTTCCCTTTCCTTTGTAATTAATGAGTATTATCGAATCACAATCCCAAATAACAGTAGCCATCAACTTTCCAGCCAACTCCGACACTTTGAATTTCTTTGGCGGTGGTGTACCCTTTTTATGCCATTGCATGGACTCTTCTGGACTCAGTGTGATGAACCCATGTTTCATCTCCGGTGACCGGCGTGAGCATTCTCGGTGGACCACCCAGGTGGTCATATAGGATTGGCAAAATGGTGGTATCTGATACTCCAACTAATGCAGATAACTGTTTTTTCTTCAAACGGGTGTCCTCCAGTACATTTTTTTCTACTTTTTGTGTGGTGGCCTCAACTGGCGTTCCTGGGCGGGGGTCGTCTTTAATCGACGCCCGACCATGTTTAAAAATACCATGCCACTTGTAAATCATTGATTTACTATAGCACTGTCCCCCATAAACGGTTTGCATTTCATTCAAAATGGTCTGAGCGTTCTTTCCTTGTTTGGTAAGGAATTTCATCACAGGACGGTGTTTAATTTTCTCCATAGTTTCAGTCTTCTGCGGGATAGACTTGTTTAGAGGCGAATATTCGTAAACGAATGAAGCAATAGGGCTGAAACTTAATTTATATACTAATGATGAGTCCCCAATTAGTATGACACTAAGCGAGCACCCCTATCCCCACTCCATACCACGAGCTTTTAGACCTCCCCTCGTACTATTTTAGTTATAGTTAAGTTGATCCATATGCGTGGGACAATAAAGCACCAAGAAGTCTACACAATCCATACGATACTAACAATAGTACCCCAGCTCATAAAGGCCGTAAAGCCTACAACCTTCGTCATTAAATGCTATATCCAATTATTATTCCAATCAACTGACCAGATATTAGTGGGTTTAAAGATATAAACAAAAAAAAAACTCAAGTTATTACATATTGTTAAGACCACGTTTTTACCTATGATTTTATTGTATGTTACAGAAACAAAGCATGAACTAGAAGATCTCATGGCTGATGTTAAGAAAACTGCCAACAAAGTCAGAGGAAAGTTAAAACGTAAGTAAACTTACCATCTTAAAATTCAACTTTGTTTTGTTTTTGTTAATGAAAGAAATGTGTCCAAATGTAGTCGATGGGTAACATTTGGATGTTACTGCATGAGTGTGTTCTTGCAAGTATAAAAATATGTTCAAGATGCTTTAAAACCTTAAATGCATTAGTATTTTATAAACCTTAGCTTTTTATGCGCAGTCCTTTATTTCACGACCTGTTAATTTAATTAGATAGAGGTTAACAAAAAATTGTATAAAGAATTTCTTCTCACAGTTAAATACTCTATAGATTTTCGTCGCATCCACAGACATAGAGCAGAACATCGAGCAGGAGGAGCACTCGAATAAATCATCGGCGGATCTGAGGATAAGAAAGACACAGCACTCGACTTTGTCACGCAAGTTTGTTGAAGTGATGACGGAGTACAACCGCACACAGACGGACTACCGAGATAGGTGCAAGAGCAGGATACAGCGGCAGCTGGAAATCACCGGTCGAGCCACTACCGACGATGAGCTCGAGGAAATGCTCGAACAAGGCAACTCTGCGGTATTCACGCAGGGGGTCAGTATACAATGTTTTATATGGTTTACAATTCTTAATTTTTATTTGGAAATCAGATCAATAAGAAGAACAAGTTCCTGCCGCTAAATAAGACACATATCAGAATTTAGCGTCAAGTTAAACTATGTTACTATGTTAATATTGTGAATGGTTAAATGAGAACTAAACGACTTTTTATTAGGTATATGTCAATTTTCATACCTCCTAACTACCTACTGCATATAGTGTGAATGAAGGTAAAAATAAGGCGCAACCTCCAAAGAAAGATGGATTTCCTTGAAAATTTGGAATTAAGATCTACTTACCTTCCTTTAAACCTGCCCTATGCCGATGAGTGCTAATGACTCTTAGTAATAATGTATGTATGAAATAATGTATATAGCTTTTGATTTAAGATAGTTTTATAGTTTGAAACACTATTTGTGAGTTTTCAACCCCTATTTTATTCTTTATACCGTTTTAAACACCCCTATTCCCATATAATTGAAAAAAAGTAGTTAGTTTTTAAATTGTTTTAATCCTCTAATAACCCCTTTTATACTCAAATAAAATAAAAATGCAAAAAACACATATGTAGAATATATAATGCTTCACTAAAACATTTTTTTTTCGAGTTCATTACCTCAAAACATTTATTTGCAATCATCTCCTAAAAATTACCCCTCATAAGAAAAAAAAAGTAAAAATAAAAATAAATATAATGTTAAATCCTTGTATTTTTTTCTACAACTTTTTTATTTATTAGTTGTGCCAGGGATACATGTATAAATTAGGTAAAACTAACACTGCAGTATACATTTTTGAAGAAGGTTGTTCTCGCCGCGCGTCGAGTTTGTGAGGGGGAGACGCCACATATATATAATACACACAGACACAAGACCCCTTCACTAAGTGCCAATGAAGAGATCACTATGTATAGTATACGCATTTCTCTGCTCCAAAATTTAAAAAATATGCGTAGATAAAAAGAAAACCATTCCGTAGAGAATTTTATAGCCAAAAAAATCATATAATTTTCATATTTCTCAAACCCTTCATTTTATAAACGTCAACGATGAAAGGGCTCAAGGGCGGTAGTGATTTCATACTAATGCTAATTTGGACAAGCCATATGTCGCATAATTTTTGAGCTACAGTAAAAAAAAAAACTATTTCTTCGAATGACAATACTAACTTTGTATTCTAGCAATTTTTATGTAACAAACTCAAACAAACTTTTGTATCATGTTTTTAATATTAAAATAAACTAATTTGTAAATGTGTAACATTTAATTCCTATTAGGGTAGTAATTAGAAGGGTTTGTTTGTTGTTCATTTTTGACGTAAAAAATCGAAACCAACTTTCGCCATATCTCCGTTACTTAATACATAAGTTCTTTTAATGTACTTTAAAAAAGGATCTATGCACTTTCATCGTAAAATGCGTCGTTGTTTCCTAATGCACGGTTGAAATCTTTAAATTTTTTGTAAAAATATAAGGCCTACCTTCAATGAGCTATGACTTTGTTTGTATTGGGCCTAAAAAACGAAATTCTTTGTTTTTTACTAACTATAATTTTGTTTATTACAGTTTTTTTTTATAAAATCAATATTTTTTGAGTTAATGAGAAAAACCATTAAAAAAGTGATTTTTGTTTTTACGAAAAATATTGACATTTTCGATCACGAATATCTCGAAACGTATTCATTTTTCAAAAAACCCTCGTAATACATTTTAGCTTAGAATTCATTCCTCCATTGATTCCTGGTATTTTTTTTTATTTGTCACCCTCTAGTTAGGGTTTTATTAAGCCCTAGCGATAAAAGCACACATCGGCATAGGGTAGATTTTACTTTTTGAAGTATTCCCTACTTACTGTCAAAATTTCAGCAAAATCTATCTATCTTGAAAAAATTGGGAGCCAAAAACCGTCAATTGTCGGACTTTCATCCTTTTTAGTAACAAAGAACTTGCCCTTCCATTTACAGTTATTTTTTTGATCTCATTTACATTTTACGTTAACATTTTCGTAGGTTGTAAGACTTTCCGACATTATCTAATAAACGAGCTTTACCTGAGGCACGATTTTTCTTCCTGAACACAACGGAATAAATGTCGCTTTGTTTAATGGAATTGGAAAGAAAGCTCATTTTTCAACAAGTTCCTTAGAACCGTCTCAATTTGTTTGGCGTTTACTTAATAATAGCTATGATAACATAAGAAATTACAAATATAATGTTTCTGAGAATTAAAAAAAAAAAATATCTAGTGCTTTGTTGCAAAGGGTGTATCTATCGTATACGCCTTTTATCTTATCTTTTATGGGCTTATGCCTTTTTATAATATATGACACAGATGCTTTCCACTTTCAAATTTCGAGCATTTCAAAACTTATAAAGTGACCTACACAGACATAGTATCGGTACTGCTAAATAAACTTTACCAATATAATGTTAAAAATTAGTTTTTGATAACCAATATCGAAACTACATAGCACAGTTCTACAAAGAGTTAGAAAACAATCGATAACGTGCATTGCAGCAAACGAGTAATAAAATCAGTATATGGCAGCGACGCATTCATTTATTAAAGTTTTATTCCTCAGGTGTTCTTATGTATAATTTACTTGTACTATAATGTACTATCTATTATAATACTTTGCAGCTGTTTGAAAGTTTACGCATTTATCACTTTTCGCATAATTCTCTTTACTAAAGGTATTTAACCATAAAGTTTTATTTGAAAGCCATGTTATTTTAATTTTAAATTCAAGTCATTCAATTCAATTGTTTGGTTTTTGTGAAATTGTGGTAGTTTTTGGCACCATGGAAAAACTGAAAATGTGTACAATTTTCAAATATGAGCTCCTACGTGGAAAAAGTGCTGCGCAAACAACACGAGACAATAACTAACACTGCTTGCATATACACGGTCCATTTTATTGGTTCAATCGTTTTAGATCTGGAAATTTTGAGTTAAAGAACGAGCCTCCAGTCCAGCAGACTTCTACAATATTGGGATAAACAAACTGATATCAAAACGGCAAAATTGTATGAAAAATTCGGGCCAGTACTTTGATTAGCTAAAATAAAAAAAAACTAAAATTTTATGTTTTAAAATTTTCATGCCAATCTCAACTTCATAAGTAAAGACCTATTACATAGAAAACCCTCAGAGCACTTATTCTGTAATATGCTACATTAGCTGAACAAATAATGTTTACAGATCCGTGTTATATTTTTTAACTTCTTATGGTCTGTGAGCCCAACAAGTAGACAGATCACCTGATAGTAAGTGACTACCGCCACTCTTTGAGCTCCCCCTTTAAATTAAGGAGGGAGGAGTGGGATCTTGAGTCTGTTTTTTGGGCGTCCGGTAACCTTACTCATTCGTTGAAAAACAAATAAAGAATAGCTTAACACCGGCTATCTATATCGCATATGTGTTAATGTATGGCTCTCGGACGGTACAACACGATACACTTCCTTTTACACCTAATAATAAATAATAGCACCGAAAAACTTAAAAAGTAATACTTTTTGTTTTAATTTAAAATAAAACGTAATTGTAATCGATTTTGAACGAATTTTTCAGATAATAATGGAGACTCAACAGGCAAAGCAGACACTCGCAGATATCGAGGCGCGGCACGCCGACATCATTAAGCTAGAGACTTCAATCCGCGAGCTTCACGACATGTTCATGGATATGGCGATGCTTGTCGAGAGCCAGGTCACCACTCAACTCGTTTTATTTCAGAGAAATTGTAATCATCTTTACAGCATCGTTTCTTGGTCCCTTCAAAGCGTGCACGTAGAAGTATTACGTACCTTGAGACATATACAAGGTTCTTAACTTACAACTACCTCGACCAGACGGGACCCTATTTGAGTTTCAAACACGAGTCCATATAAATTTTAAAATGACATGCCTAGCACCAGTTTATCACTAAGACTGTACAACAGTTTATTGTACTAGCAAGTCATTCAACTGGATTATATGCTAACTCTTGGCAACTTTAATAGAAATACCTTCTGCGGTTAATCTAAATACGAAACTTTCACGTGTAAACAGATTCCAATGAGTTTCGTAGTGAGTAGAATATTGTAGTAATTAGTATCTAGTAGAGTAAAAACTAAACTAGTTGTTATGGATACAGGGAGAGATGATTGACCGCATTGAGTATCATGTAGAACACGCTGTGGACTATGTTCAAACTGCCACACAAGACACTAAGAAGGCCCTAAAATATCAGAGCAAAGCTCGGCGGGTGAGTGATCATGCTAATGTGAATTCATTCTTAACTAATTTCGTTTTGTTTTGTTTCTTCCTCCATCCATCCATCCATCCATCCGTCCCGTTCCCGCGTCTTGTTCCATATTTTGTTTCATTGTGAATGATTTGATTCGTTAAACCTTGCATTTTGTTAACGACGATACGGTGATTGGTTCACACTTGTGTTTTGTGTTGTCTCGTTCTTTCCTTACATGTGTCTACACAATCTGCTTTGTCTGTTGTATTCTTATGACTCAACTAACATACAGTTGAAATCGGCTTATAATCATAACCTACTTAATTATATGTATCACTAATTTATGATTTCATTGGTGTGTGCGTAATTTGCCTTCTGTATATGGTGTATTTGTTATATAATAACTGAAACTAATATTTTCGATTGTTTACTATTAAAATACGTTATTATATAACAAGCGTGTCTTGTGTATCATAAAATAATGATTATCATAAACATACAATTTGGTTAACACTGATATCATATACATAACTGTAACACGTGTGTCCGTTAGTGCTTATATTTAATTTTAATCATATTTACCTGGATAGGATAACTGTGATAACAAAACTTCGGGGTTTTCTTTAATATTTCCTAACGTTTTACTTCAGCGCTTTGGTCGGTTCCTGTAACACGATATTTACTTTGGGAATTTATACCTATAAAACGTATGAACCAATCGGCCGTCGATGCCGCGATTGTCCCCTCCCTCCCAGAGCCGTTGACCTTAGACAAGCAGGGCGAGCTGATAGATCGCATCGAGTACCATGTCACGCAAGCCACCGACTACGTGGACTACGGCCGCAGCGAAATAGGCAAGGCCAAGGAATACATGATAAAAGCTCGGAAGGTAATGCATGACACATCAACTAAATACGGCTCAGACCGCCTCCTGTTACTAAACAATGAATTCCTACTACATACTTTATGGGGTGGTGCGCAACTTAACAATAGCTGCTCTCAACTGAGGCAGGTGTCAGCGTTCTTAACTTAACCGACTATCGATTAGTATGTCTTTTATAAATATTTTTTTCCACTTTCATGGTTTCAGCTTTAAACAAAATGCACAAGGATTTTCTTCAAAGCTATCGATAAATGCATGTCGCATGATAATATAATAAGTCACACAATTGTTTATTTCTATTTACTAATATCTAATTTCTATAATGAAAACAAGACGAATAAAAATAAACTTCGTTCTAAAATACAAACTACTAACTAGTTGAAATAAACTGCTAGCTATAAACTAATAGCTGGTGCCAAAACATTTTAACTGTGTATAGTATTTATCAGCTCATTGTATTGTCACATACGTATTACTTTATCTTAAATGTCCCTTTCTTGTCTCGAACATGGTTTAATGTGCTAAAATAAATTACAACCAACGGTAAAGAACTTAACGTAAAACTTTAAACAATGGGTTGCAAAAGTATTCTTATACCAAACTAAATGTTCATTTCTACATATATAATTAAATTAAATTTCAAAAAGGAAGATCTAGAATTTTAAATGACTAATGTAGTCAATTAAAAAAGAAAAAGAACTGATGAAGTTACAATCACCTATAGTTATTATCATCATTATAGGTAGTATTCATCTGGAAGTTTCCTCTCTTTCTATTGTTTCACTCTTCTGACGTTTCTTTAAGGTTACGTTTCATTCTCCACTTTATCTCTCAATGTCCTTAGAAGTGTAGTGTAAAAAAAGAAACATTTTTTTAAGCAACTGAATACAATGACATTCAATTGCTTTTATTTTAGTTACGTAGTCTCTAACACCGTTAGGAGTACCGAACTGCTCGTGCATCGTGCCAGCGATGTTGAGTCGTACGCGACTGACGACCAGGGCCTCAATTCTGCTATTTTATGTTTACGACAAGCCAGTGTCATACCACTGACACGCTATTGAGATGCCATCGAGTGGCCATTGGCATCGGTATAAATATCGGTAGTTAAAAATATATTACGTTTTTTGATGAAATGGTTGTTTTTTATTTTTATTATAATAAATTATTAAAAGAAATATAAATTATTTAAAAAATAAAATTTAAAAAAAAAGTAATAAAAAAATATTAAAATTAATAAATAATGTCCTTATTATTTGAAAATATATTACGTTTTTATTATATTAATTATTAAAATAAATAAATAAATTATAATAAGTTATGAAAAACTAAAATATAAAAAGAAGAAATAAATAAATTATTAACATAAAAAAATAAAAATAATATTAAAATAAATATATTTTCAAATTATAAGGAAATGATTTGTTTATTTAAAGTGTTTTTAATTTCAATTTTTTTATTTCATATTTTTTTTAATTCTTATTTTTTTTAATTTTATTTTTTTAATAATTTACTGAGGAAATGACTTTAGGAAATGACTTATTAATTTAAATATTTTTTGTATTTTAATAAATATTATTTATCTTTTTTTAATAATTTCATGTTTTTAATAATTTATTTATTTATTTTAATAGTTTATTTATTTCTTTTTTTATAATATTATTTTTGAATAATTTATTTTAATTTATTTATTTCTTTTTTTTTAATAAGTTATTTTAATTTATTTATTTCTTTTAATAATTTATTAGAAACAAATAAATCATTTCCTCAAAAAACGTAATATATTTTCAACTACCGATATTTATACCAAACACAAACTCAAACTCAAACTTTCTTTATTTCATAAAATTTTCAAAATTGTTTGAAATCGTCTTCCATGTAGACTCTAAAGTCATAGATCAACACACACAAAAGCAACAATCTCTGTTTTTAGTCAAATAGTAACCAAATAAATTTAACAAAAATCAAACCCATACAAAATCTATGATATGCCTGTGCCGATCTACAACCGCCCGTTTCCAAGGGGTTGAGCCTTATGAGAAGAAAGGGCAAACAAACTCATGGCCGATGCCAATGGCCACTCGATGGCATCTCAATAGCGTGTCAGTGGTATGACACTGGCTTGGCGTAATAGCAGAATTGAGGCCCAGTGGTCGCGAGACTTGCAGCGACCATTCGCCAGATGTGGATTGCGACTGCGCAGCACAAGTTTATTGTTATCTAATTTATTATAATAATGGATGTAGGAGACATAAAGATTAAGAAAAGTACAGTTCATAGCCGCCCGTAAATCTTCTCCTTCTTCTCATCCTCCTGATGGCACGAATCCGTAAAACAAAACTTTCCATCAATAAAAGTTCTGATACTATATCCATATCCGCCTTAAGTACTTTTTTTCACCGAGCCAAACAATAAATATGTTTAGTACTAACAGCAAATAGTAGTATCTAACTTCATTAACTTATGTGATCCATTCCTTTATATGAGCGCTCAGCTTTTAGTTTTGTTTTTATGGCTGTCGTGTTTCTATGATATACTCTTATCTGTTCTTTTTTTTATTTAAACTCCTCTATGCAAAGATTTTGACTTTAGGAGATTTTTTCCTATGATTTGAAGGCGTGAATTCATGTCTAAATATATTTTAGTAACCTGCAATTTAGAATTCCATTAACTTTTTATCTTCTGTGATCTTCTAGTATTACGTGTACAAAGGGCCTGGTTTTAGTTTATTTCTCATTAACTCGATCGTCATGGTTACCGCGTTCAGCGTTGCGACTGGTTGATTTAAATTCTGAACCAATCGCAACTCCGAAAGCGGTCGCCTTCGAGAGGGAGGTGATGTGAAATAAACTCACACTAGGACATCTAGACATACTATATTAATTTCATATTACAACCCGTTCATAAATAAATAGTTTATTAAATAAACCGGCAAACTTTCTGTTTCGATGTGTCCATAGTTTTTTCTCCCTTGCGTTTCACATGCCTGTGTGACTGAAAACTTACTTTCTAACTGTTTCTTTTGTTTTATTATAGGATATTATTGTGTTGACTTTTTGGTAACAGAACAATTTCTGATACCATTATTTTTTATGTTAATCGATTCGTAATGAAAGGTAGTGGTACCAAATTAGTAAAACACCTGCACCCCTATATTTCTGTCATGAAATATTGCACTGTGAACACATCGCTAAACAAGTTTTGGGTCCTTTACTGAATTAAATACTCATGATATATTATTTGTCAAAAATAGTAAAACGAATATGCATTCAAATCATATACGAGTATATCCCTTAATAATACGAAAGATGCTTGCATTGCACAACACTGCGGCTTATTATTAAGGTATTTTTATTCTGTAAACGAGATCGGATACGAACACCTAATGTTAGAGTCAAGATTTTTTTTATGTCCTGGCAATGTTTAGTTTTGCGATAGGTGCCAATTATGAGTTAAAAAACCTGGTTGGTATTCTGCTTATTTACATCGTTTTAAAATCATTAGAATAAGGACTTTAAGCTTACCTTTGAAAGGTGATATTAAACAGTGAACTATTGCCCTCCAAATTGGCATGGAAAATACTTCTTACCTAATACGTGTGGTGACGGATTAAGGATACAGAGTGTCACCACCCCTATTGATCCCGTGGGTGTCGTAAGAAGCGACTAAGGGACCAAAATAAGCAGGACAACAGCACTGTTGAGAGAAGGAAAACTTGACACAAACCCTATGCCAACCCGTCTGGCCAGCGTGGTATAGTAGGCCAAAACCTCCTTTCTAAGGAGAGACCTATTTCGAGCAATGGACTAGTAAAGGCTGTTGATGATGATGATGATGATGACCTAATGGAATAACTTAAACTGTATTTTATTGATTGTAGAAACAGTATTTACCGTATTGTAAAAAATAACAGACTTTTTAAATGACACAGTATGTATGTATTCTATATTCCAATTAATTCAAAACTCAATATATAATTAAGTAAAGACTAGTGCACAGTATCCGATCTTGAGATTACGATTGTGGAAGGTGGGTTGTAATGCGTTATGTGCTTTCGGTGATTGTATAAATATTGATGTGGCTTATTTGTCATACTTTGGTAAGTAATATTAAGTACATTACTATTCTACGTACCAGCTGCTTGCTTGCGCATGTTAAAAGTAATTTTATAGAAGTATTTAAGTAAAGTATTTTTATAGAAAATAATAATAATATACCTCACACATCTCACACACGTCCGTCTAATCCCAAACTAGTCAAAGCCTGTGCTATGGTAACCAGACTACTGATAAACATACTTGTATATTTTAAAATACATACATATTATAGATAAATTACACCCAGACACAGAACAAATGCTGTTATAACACAATATTTGTCCTGGTTCGAACCCACGACCTCCGGCTTAGCAGTCAGGGTCACTAACCACTATACCAACAGGCCTGTCACTGTTACTGCACAATGTTAAACGAGTTGTGGCTACAGAAATAGAAAGTATATGATTATAATTAATAACATTATAACTACATGGATGTTTTAGTGCTTATTTCTTTAAAAAATATGTAAACTTTTTTCAGTAAAGTAATTAAGATTAAAAAGAACTTTGATAGAAATAAAATTACCTAGAATGATAACTCAGTTTTCTGGGACTTCTTTCTTAGGTTCTAGCCGGGTCCCTTGCAATTAGTCCCTTATTTGAGGCCGACCATTGTTTGATTTTAGTCGGTTTAATTTCGATATTCAGCATGGCCCCGGTGAGGTGGTGATCCGTAGGGATTTTCAATCAATAAAAAAACATTAATTACTTAGTGTTCCCCTCACCCCTCGAAATTACTAAAAGTTAGTCTGTTTACGGTCGGTGAATAATGGCTTGGTTCAATGAAAGGCTTAAACCAAATGCTTGATTTAGTCTAAGCCTTTATTCACTGTTCCCTGTTTATTATTTTTGGTAACGAAGGTCTGTGCTATCTTTTAGGGAAAACGTTAATACTCTTATCTTCGTTCTACTGTGAGGTAAAGTAATCAGAGTGACTAGCACGCCGATGAGCCTAGATCTTCTATCTAACCAAGAATCTTGTAACTTACTGAAATTGGTTTTATAAATTTGTTCCTTGTTTTTTGCAAATCATATCAGTGCATCATTTAATTGTAAATATTGCATGACAGTCTAATTGTAACACAGTTATTTAATTTAAGAAAAGTATAGTCGACAATGCAGTAAATTAATTTTACATGTTCCTAATTTATATGGAAAGCAAATTCTTTGTTGTTAAATATTTACCCAGCTAATTTAAAAACACAAACTTACCTTATAATTTTCAAGCATTTGTGTCACATTTACATTTTGTCGACTATATTTGATCGTTATCATAGCATCAATTCTATTTTTTTTGTTTTTCCTTTGTCATTGCAGAAAAAAATATTCATCATAATATGCCTGGCTGTTACGCTGGTAATATTGATAATAGTGCTCGCGATCGCCCTGAGCTAAACTTCGTGCGAAGAGTGCTGACGTCATGGTCTGCCACATGGCCCCCATGGACAATGTGTATGAATTCAATTGGTTTCTAAAATGTGCGCACAAGCATCCGACATTGATATTCGTCGTATACCATTGAGTGGAATGTAGACTACGGGCTACTCGATATAATATAAATGTTTTGCTTGCGGTTATATACATGCAACCATCATTTATTTGGGTGTGTCACAAATAATGCATGAATGTACCAAATGTTAAGGAGTTAATTGTTCAAGGAGGCTGTGTTATGAACTAATTGTGCAAATAAGTAAATTATAGTCTATTTAAAAAGATGATATAATTCTGTAGTACTCTTTACTCAAACGTATTTGCTTGAACTTTTTTTCTCAAAAACTAAAGTAAATAAGTATTAAATGAAAATTAATAATAACAAATTCCATATGTGACTTAGATCAGAAGTCGAAATTCGAAACTACCTACTAAACGTAGTTCAATAGTCAACATAAATAATGAAATGTAAAATTAAATAAAAAAAGAAATCATTTTTTCTTAGAATCTGTCAACAATTATTTTGTGAAAAAATAAGTGAAAACCTTGTATAACTTTATGCCAAGTTATGGTTTTTGTTCTAGTTAGATAATATTTTATGTAGATGTTGATCATCTCTAAGTATTCAATCTGAGAACTAATAATTAGTAAACAAATTCCTAATAGACAAGATGTACACGTCCCTTTTATACAGGTATGATAATTTATTATTGATAAAATGATGATATTAATCACTTTATTGTGTATATTGCTGTAGTAAAACGGTAGCGTAAAAATTATAAATCAGTATTCTTTTTCGAAGTTCTGAAGGAAAATAATCTCTGATAATTATATGAATAATTTCCTATTCCTAAAATATATTTATAACAAATATCCCAGTAAAATGAACTTACTATGGATGTATTAATTAATTTGAATAATTTTGAGCAAACGACTAAACAGGTTACAATAACAGTATTCAGTACAACAAACAGGGCCTTCTGTTGAGTGTCGTAATTCAATTTATAACGCAGCCTTTTTGTTGTATACTTATCAAAGTTAGATAAGCATAATTAAACAAGAATTTAATTCTTATACCATCTTGGTATACGAAGTTTGAAGACAATATGTGTAAAGTGCAATAATATAGATTGTGCTTTTTAGAATTTGTAAGTTATTTAATATTAGCTTGCTGGTAATGCCAGCCTGTCTTATACCATACGAATATATTTAGCAATCTGTATGTAAATATAAATTTAAACTCTTAAACTAATTAGTAAAAACATCACATTATTTAAAACAGATCACTGTTTTTGAAGTACACACTGCATTATTCTTCTGCCCAACTGTTTAGGTAATATTATCACTGATACATATTTTATTAGAAAATAATATATTTGATAGCTTTATGCGGTTTGTTAACTACTTATAAAAGTCTATATAATGCCAATAATAATAATCTTTGATAAATAATGTTGTGAGCCTTTTTTGTAACAGCCGATTTTATCACAGTCGATTTTATCGCAATTTGTTTATTACCGTTACTACGAACTCGTGCTTGTTTATAATATGTTGTAGTAACATTTATATCGACTATTTCAGTACGATATGCATCCCTTCAAGGTATCGTTTAATTTATACATGTGAACATATTATCGTACAAACACCTAGAACCCTCAAGTAATGCCTTATTATTTATTACGCTATATAAAATAATGCAACGACCAGTATTCTACCCTAGTTTAAGTATGTCTAATTTGTACATCCCAGGAGCAGTGGCGACAATTCCTTGTAATGATGTTCCTGCCGGTTTACTTTATATTAAATTCGAAGCAGAGTATGTTTTTCCCTTTTTGTAATATGTCACTTATATTACATGTATAAAAACTAATGAGTACAGATGGTCAACGAGGGGCGAGTTGGAGTTTTAAAATTCTTAGGACGCGCCACTGTGTTTTAGTATTTTTGGAGGCTTAATCCAATCGAATGTGTTGGTAAAACTTGTTGAATAGTTTACCTGTGAGCAGTTTATAACAAGTAAGCGAATTATAGGATTGTTAAATTCATATTTGATTTTCTTGTGTGTTTCGGAATTACCTAAGGTCAATGAATATGGCAACTGATTATTATTTTACTCCATGCATTTAATATAGCATTTTGTTTTCATAAAATATACATACGAATCATTAAATTATTCCGAGTTATTTTTAATATAATTATTTAATGTATAAAGTCTGTGTCAAGCACAAATAAAAGTTCTGTGATTAAATATTTGTGTAGTTGAATTAGTGAATGTGCTGAGACTTCGCAGTTTACTTATCTTGAACATTTATTTATTTAATCAAAAGACTGTGAAATATAATTTAATGCCATCTTCATTATTATTGACAATTACTTTACTTAATACTAGGAGACCATAATAGAAGTTACGTTTTATTTGTTAAATATCGTAAGTAGTTTAACGCCAACATCAATGGCGTATTACAAAGATGTTTATTAATTCTGTTATCTTTAAACATTCATGTTGTAAATATGTTTATAATTTTGAAAATTACATTTAAATTTATTATTTTGAATTATTTTTTATTTTGAGACCTTACTTTCTTACACTTTTGATACATGTATTGCACACGTGTCCGTGCGAATTTTGATGGTTTATTCCGAAATTTTGTGTGACATATAAATATAAAATTTAATTTTCATCAGCAACATTGTAAATATACCCTTAAACAATACCTCCTAATCAAACATTTTGCATTTTATTCAGAGGATGGATGAAGGTTTATTCTGCATATTTTAAAGACCCATGTGCTTGATACGCCTAGGTTTTTAAGAGATAGTAATAATACAAATGTAGTAATTATAAGTACAATACCTTGGTTTTTGTAATATTTTCTAATTCTAAAAATCTCCAGGAACGCCATTCGCTTGGTCTCTACACATCCGACATTAAACAATTACATAGCAATAATTCATTTGGACATAGCTTTTGGGCGTAATTAAAAAAATATCAGGCGTTTTAACTTATTTGTATATTTTAGAGAAATGGCAGTATTACTCTGAGTTCCCTCTTTGCCGCATAAGAAAGGTTTAAAAAATTAACAGGCTCTGTATGATGTATTAAATTTTACCTTACTACAAATTACTAAGATTTAACTTACCGTGTACTTCATACAGCGCCTGTAAACATAATCGCCACACCATCACGGCAGAATAAGTCACTAATTAAATTGAAGCGACTAGACTAGCTAGTAGACTAAGCCATAGTAGAGTAGTAAAACAGTATAATACAAACTTGTATTGTAATACATTTATTAAAATACTTTTAAAATTATTATTTTTTATTACGATATGAAAAAGAGACACGGCACTAACTTTAATGTTCAGAAAGTAAGCCATCATCCGATCCAAAGACGTTAGAGTTTGATATTTTATAACACATTGGACGTTTAACGCAAAACTTCATCGTTTATTGAATTTCGAATGGACACTTTTTTTTATACGTTTGTTCTTTAATTTTGTTTATCATAGAACACAAATGTATACCAATAATTGTATGTATAAGGCAAATGACGCACCCACTTTACTATATTATGAATCTTAAATTAAACTATTTCAGTATTGTTTTATGTTATAATCATGGTACTACTCTGTAATAAGAAATTGCAAAGACTGACTCGAGTGTTGCACTCGGGACAAGTCTAAAGCGTACTGTTGCATGCTCACACCGTCACTCGACATTCGCCGCTACAGAAGAAGATCATGATCCTTGTCTGCCTGCTCATACTGGGCATCGTCATCGTGGGCTACGTGTCCAGCTATTTCGTTTGAGCGACCCACATTCATACACCGATCATCATATGCTCAAAGGTAATTTGTAAGTTTACGGCGGGCGGACGGGACGCGGTGCGGTCGAGAGAGGACAGCGAGCTTTCGAGGTGCTCACCGACACCGCGATCTACGTACGCCCGCTGGACATAGCTAGCTACTAATGTGTGTTGTATTTGTCCACTGCAGAAGAAGATTATGATAATGCTGTGCCTGGTCGTGCTCGGACTCATTGCGGCTGGCTACGTCTATAGCATGTTCCCCTAAACGGGCGAAGGGGACAGGTTTGATGCGAACATTTGGACTTTATAGATCGCATCCCTAGTTAGATATTTGATATCGCGAAGTAGATATTATCATTCGACAAAGCCATGCTTTATGCCATGTATTAAATATGCATGAGCCAGTTACATAATTGTTTAGGAGATGCGTTATTATGCTCATGCTATAGAGTTATTGGATTGTCTATATTTTGCCACTGCGTATAACATATGCTGTAAGTTGAGTTACGCTGCTTATTCAGAATATAACTGACGCCACATATTTATTACGCAATCAGGATACAAAATAATTTAGAGTTATTATAAGAACACATTTAAAATAATGAATATCTTCAATTTTAATATCTTGTTTTAGAAAGTTTTGTATATCCTGAAACTGCCTGTTCGCTTATATGTTTTGACATAAACCTAATAGTAACAAACTTTTATTGTATACCATACCACGCACTTTTACTATTCCGCACCTATATCATGTTGTTTTAACTTCTTTTTGGGGTACATGATTAAAGAAGATTGGGGTAGATAAAAATGACAGTAAATAGAAGATTATATCGATAGTCAGGGTTTTAAAACATACTAATAACTTGACACATCTCACACACGCCAGTCTAATCCCAAACAGAGCCCGTCATATGGTAACCAGACTGCTGATAAACATTTAGTAGGGTGTTGGTAATTAGCGATTTATTTTTTTCAGAAGACCTTTTTTAATTGTAAAGAATCGCCTACGTGTAGTGCATGAAGTAGTTTTCAAGTTGCACCAACTTGAAAATTATTCTTCGTGAAAGTATACTTCTAAATCTCAAATCTAGAATTCTATAAGGTGTTAATATCATAAAATTTAAGATAGTATAGAAATAGAGTACATAGCTATTATTCAATTTATTACATATATTGTACATGCGTCACGTAAAGCTTACTTAGGAAAATAGTTTTAAGTACCTATTCTGATTATATAGTTAGTCTGAAATATATAATTATTATTATAGTTGTATTAAAGTTTAACGGGTTTTAATGTGTTTTAGGACCGTCATGCAAAGAACAATCATCCCGCAAATCTCGGTGCCTGCGTCCTACATGGCAGCAATCAACATTCACCAACAGTGCTAGTCATCATTGACACCTACAAAACAACTTCTTATTTGTTGTTAGAAGTTCTGTAAATCAATTAATCATTCAGAAATACATCTTAGATTGAAATATATAACGATAACATCGTAAATAACGATTGATCGTATGATCACTCCATAACAGCTGGCTCTAATGTCGTATTTCTTAGCGATCACACAATAATCATTTATTTACAAAAAAAGATTACAAGTTAGTGCGCAATAATCAAATATACATATTGTTAGTTGATACATACATTATACATATACCTAATACCTACACGCATTACAATATTTAGTACTTTAAAATATTCGGTTTGTATTAAAACATTCCGTAACAAAATGAAGTGTCTGAAACGATCGGCAGAGAAGAATTTTTCAAATTACTGACTCAGATTTAGATGAGTATCACAACGGTTGCTAAGTCTCCATATGTGGGTATAGTATGTTTAAGTAAAGTGATATCATCCTCTTTCATGTATACAGTGAGTCTCAAAAGTACATTCAGTTCATTCGTTTGATAGGTTAGATATAATGGTGGAGTGTAACACCCGTATGCCCCTTATCGGGCGGTATGTTACGAGAAGTAAAGTAGTCTGTGTGTGAATCAGTATTTGGGCATACGGGCTAGGTCGGTAATCGTTAGGTTCTACCTCACCATTTAGACGAATAACCTTCGCGTTCGCGCATGTGAGCACCAGTAGTGGCGCCTGCGATCGCGGCAAGTGAGAGATGGCTCACAGTCGGGGCCGCCCCAGCCAAGGCTGCCCACAGTGGTGAAGAACAGCGGAGACGAGACAAAGCTGTGTAAAAATTCTCCTCTCAGTTAGGGTGCTATACAGTCAATTGTTACACAGGTTCGCTCCCTCCCCTCCGCGCCTTGGCGTGGCGTGTGTCACGTGACACGTTGCACTCGCAGCACGTTGCACTTATGGCGTGCTGGCGTGTCGTCGCCGTAGCAATAATGAAGTTCGATTACAATTGTAAAATTGTTTAAAACTTTCGAATGTGTGATAGTAGATGCAGTTGTTGTTTAGTTAACTTTATAATAATAATAAATTGTTATTGTGAATGTAACTTTTAATAAACAGTAAGAGTACTTTGAACTTTTCAAAATAATAAATAGTGTAAACTACTCATTAAAATTTTGGCGCTTTTCGATCAAATTTATAGTGGAGTCAAATACTTACATGTAAATTTTAGTTATCTTCTAAGATGCTCTTCGTTGTACAGTAATACATAATGTAGCCGTTTTAGCTAGGATAACTTTTTTAATAAATTCGAAGTACAGTCTTCAGCAGTATAAGAATAGTTATCAAGCAGTATTTTCCGTTTGTAATGTTATCGTAGAGAGTCACTTGAAAATTTAAGCACCGACGTGTATTAGCAATTTCCTAAATGATAATAAAGTTATATGAATAAACAAATATGCAGTCGTATAATGGCATTATGTACTCGTTACTTGTGTGTCGAGCGGCGCGAGTGGCTAACGGCACTAATCACCCGGCGAGTCACAGACAGTCGAGAGTCCCCGCCTCGTGCCCGCTCGTGCTTTAGTCTGCAGTTCAATATTTAAGAACACAAAGCAATGTTAATTTTAACATTTATAGCATAATTAGATTTTTATCCCTAAGAGTAGGATTTCATCTAGTTGCCTTTGTAACAGTAGAGAAATTAGGTGATACCTTTTCTCTGTTCTGAAGCTATCATTGTAACATCGCCGAGGTCAGCCGCGTTTCTCCACTAGCCAGTCAATTGTGTCGCTTGTCTTCCCCCGGGCCCCGCCCGTCGCCGCAGACCGCCGCCCTCGTGCTCTGTACCGACATCGTGCTGATGCTAGCTAGTCGCATCTAATCTCATCGTATCTCTAGTTTAAGTATAATATAAATTGGCCTCGAAGCGAGGCTGCGTACCTGACACCAATCTAACATTAATCGTAGTGAGGGGCAGTTCGCCTGTGCTACACGCCCCACTCGGAGAACATTCGCACAAGTGACTCGTTCCCGCGCGACAGCGTCGCGTCGGAGCGTGAAGGGTTCTGCGAGCGGTTGGTTCGTGACCGCTGCGAAACCCTTCGTAACTCAGTCCTTATTTGTAAAAATTGTTAGAGTAGGTATAACCGAACTTCTAGTCAGCTTTTAATAATCTCTATTGTTCTAATAATATCAATCGTAATTATTGCAATTGTATCCTTTGTTACTAGTGTACATATAAGTGATGTTCTCGTGTTCAAGTATCGGCTCGGGCCGCAGCTAGCGCCGCCGCGCCGCCCCGCGCAGCGTGCCCGAAGCGCACGCGCGCGTCACACGTAGCGCGTAACGCGTTTCGGCACGCACGTTCTTTCAAATTTCAATATTATCGTAAAGCATAGATATTTTCATAATCAATAGTATGCATATTGTTGATTGGAATGCTAATTTTGTATAACTACGTACACAATTAGTATAGTTTATATACTTATGTGTCAATTCTCATAGCGTTTTATTACATAACAGACGTTAGCTAGTAAGTGTTAAAAGTAATCCAAAACGATTGCAGTGCTGTTTATTAAGCCTTAAGTTTCATATTATGAATGAAGTTTAGCCAAACTCATTTCTTTACTCTTACCTGTTTATGTATCACAATAAAACAGTAAATATAATCACTTATATTGTGTCTAACTCATTGATACCCATATACAAAATAATCTCAAATACTAAATAATCACTTTACAGGTTAAGCAAAGCTTGCTAAGAATGTGGAACAACGAACATTTAAAATGTAGTTTTATGATTCATATTGCCGAAAATCAATGCTATCAACTTTGGACCACATTATATCTTCTTAAATTGTTACTAACATCAGTTAAATAATTGATTTATCTGTATCATGTGGACATTCAACCTACATATTGTTAAATTTTCAAACTTGATCACCAATGGGTACCAAATATTTCTGACCACCGATAGTTATAGAAATCATAATTATTCCAACAGCTATTTGTGTTCCATGTATAACTTTAAACATGTATTTATAATGTTACATCGTACAAACTAACCAGCTACATATACGTATCTTGTTATGTTCTGTTGGTAGTATATTTAAGGTGCCCTAAAAGACCATAATGTGGATACCTCGAACTACCGAATAGTTATATACACTATACCTTGCCGTTCTACAAATGATAATAATATTATTTAGCAGTAGAGTCGCTAGACTTCAATTTTGTAGTTAAATGTTCGTAATTATCAAATTTCCACAATTGTGCTTTTTTTGGATCTTTGATGTTGCTTGGCGTTGAATGATGTTAAACATTATTATAAAATATTATATATTAGAGTTGATAATTTATTTTAAATCATGTTATTTTCATATTTAGTTTAGACAAAATGTTATAATAGTTTAGAACTTGCTGTTCTACCAATGTTTCTTGTATCTACATATAAGTATTTCATAATTTTAAAGATGTATTCCCTATAAAAAAATTGTCCCCTAAACTTCTTGTAAAAGAACACTGAATGCTTACCCACTGTTACAATTACGAATTAACAGTGAGTTTCTGGACACGTAAAATTCAAGTTACATTGGTTTTTATAGTCATATTATTCTGTATGTAGGTTATCAATCTGAAATTCTCTCATAATTATAAAATAAACGGTGTTTTCTGCTGTATTTGTTGTTATTTAATCGGGGCATGGGAGCGCTCCCGCGCCAAGTTGAGTAAAAGAAAAAGGCTGCTTCGCTATCCTTTTCCCGAAGCTATTCCAATAAACATTCCAATTCCCTCAGACTTAATTGTGAATGAAGCTAGGAACCTGGATTTTTAATGACTGAGAAGCCATGATGTATGTAATTTTTAGATGATCACCATCGTCTCCTTAGAAAGAAGATTTTGGCCTACCATACCACGCTGGCCAGATGGGTTGGTACAGGTTTTGTCAAGTTTTCCGCACCTCTCCTTCCGTACTCCTCATGAAGATAGTCCTCCTCACCATCTCCAAGGTGACGCTGCCGACTGCTGGTGTAGGACCTCCGGGTACGAGTACGGGCCGCGCGGAGGTCCGACAATTCTTGAGTCCACAAGAAAACCTCCTTCCTTGCAGGTCGACGACCTCGGACGCGGGGGCATGGCCGCATCGCGTTATTCTGCGTTATGGCATCGCCTCCTGCGCTCTCGGTTTACGGTAACGGCCAGCCGTAGGTGACGTCTGCGTGTGCCGGACGTCACCTAAATACAGAATGTACCTACCCAAAGGTGGTGCCCGCGCCGCTGCGGGCAGGCGCTCGGAGGGGTCCGGATGTCTTAATAACAGTTGCCCGATCCTCCTCCAGCAGTTCTCCTATAACAGGCGCAGAGTGGCACACCGTGTGGGAGTAGTCGGTCCAATTCCGACACCACCACCACCACAAAATCCGGTGGGGTGACGGCCCGAGGAGGGTTTCCACACGTAAAAAAAAAAAGTCTTGTCAAGTATTCTACCTGGTAAAAGTATAACAGTAAACACTTATATAATACAAAAATTGTTATAATACGGTATTTCTTTTTTTTTAAAGTGTCAAATATATCAAAGAAATCAATTTTTTTATTCAACGATAAGCGGTATAAAAATACATTAAAATTTTACATTTAGACGAAAACACCTTAGTTGACTGCAAATAAACGCGTTCAGTTGACAGTTCACAATGAGGTTTTTTAGTTTACACTGCCGTCTGGCGTAAAACCATAGCGGCCACTATTTCATGGTGTTATACTGGTAATTTAAAAAAAACTGTAAAATTGAAGTAAATTAAAAAAAATGTTATTTTATTTACTAAATGTAACATTTTATGACTTATTTTTGCCTAAACTTGCCCAAACCCGAGTTAAGGAGAGTCAAACTCGAGTTTAATCGGGCTAAACGCTGTTCGAGTTTGTAAGTCAAGTTGACGCGGAAACAAAGTCATCAACACCAGCACTGTGTCAAAGTCCAAATGGCCGAGCAGAAATACTTTGTCAACACACTTTTTTTTTTAAAAATAAATTATTAAGATTTTAGTTGTAACATTTAGTTACTGTGTTAGAGATATTTCAGGGTCGATTTTATTAATTAAGAAGCATTCCTTTTATAAAACTCGAGTTAGGGCTTAGCAGCACAGTTCTAGTTTGTAAGTCGGGTTGACGCGTAGGCAAAGTTAGCAACACTAACACTGTGTCAAAGTCAAATTGGCAAACCAGAAATACTTGTTTGTCAAACATATTTTTTGTTTAAGAAACATTAAGATTTTAGTTTTAATATTTATTATAGCTGCTGTAGTAGAGATACTTCAGAACCGTTTTTTATTAATTAAGCGAAATGAATGCACCGCCAACATTCGAATCATTCCTTTTATATGATGGAGAAAAGAAGTAAGTTCAGTGTACAAAATAACCTTACTAATATCAAAAAAATAAATAAATAAAGCAATCTGAACTTTTAGGGTACAGAAAGAAGAAGATACTAAAGTTACTAACGCTGCTATATTTACTGTGAATAAGGAAGATCACACACTTGGAAACATGATAAGGCAGTAAGTGTCCAATTAGGTTTACTCTTAACTGTTTACTCATCAAATATACTTATATCATGGTCACGTATTTTAGCCAGCTACTCAAGGATCCTAAAGTATTGTTTGCTGGTTATAAAGTACCTCATCCTTTGGAACACAAGTTTGTACTTCGGATTCAAACAACATCAGATTACACTCCGCAAGAGGCTTTCATGAATGCTATTACTGACCTCACCTCTGAATTGTCGCTTTTTGAAGAAAGATTTAAGGTGTGTTTTCTTTTTTATTATTGTTAGTATATAAACTTGCATTAAGGTAGAAATGTTCCTATTAGTCATAGTCATAGTGTAATGTTATATGGCCTACAACTTTCTTCGATGAATAAAATAATTTTTCAATTTGAACCAGTTGTTCCAGAGATTAATTAAAAAGCTATAAAAATACTAATATGAGTTATTATCATTGTTTCAGGAGGCGATAAAAGAAAAGAAAGATGGCTTAGATTAAATAATTAAGATAACTGCTAAGTTACAGATAGAAATAAGATTTTTTTAAATAAACCATTATAAAATGTACATATTTGCATTTCTCTTCTTTCAGTGCATTGCATAAGTAACTGTCTCGCTCGGCTAAGTAAATGTAGATAATGATAATAATAATAAGAATAGGGAAGATCATTTTAAGTCATATCTTGTCTAAATACTTAGTACCCACATTTATGCATCAAGCAATACACATCGCAGCCTCTTCTCTGCAAGATGCAACTCTTCCATTTTCTCAGATCTCTGAGATTTAGGTTTTGTTTTGTTGATGGGGTTTCAAATCACTCTCAGATTCCTTCAGATTCCTACTTGTAGATAGAGGCGACGATAACTCTTTGAACGACTTTCGCATTTGTCTAGTTGACAAAACTGTGGGAACGCCAAGCAGCCGCCTCGGGCAGGATCTTAGTAGACTTGGGCAGCACAGTTCACATCAAAGATCTCTTGCTCAGTAAAGTGAACTAGCTCATTTCGCTTTGGATTCTGTAAGTTGCAGCAGTTTGGCAAAGTTCATTTTGGTCTGTGACTCTGTGAGCTGCTGCAGCTATTTGGCTACAAGTACATGAACTGTGAACGAGTATATACTTATTTACATAGTTCATTGATTTCGAAATTTGGATTTCCCTTCAGGCTTTATAATCTACTGACTAAATGCGTCATTCAAAAAACGTGATTGTCTTCTCTATAAACCAGAAATCATTTCACTGTACTATATAAATAATTTTAATCCAGTGGTACAAATGCCCATCATTTAAAAATGTGATAACTTACAGCTAAATTTATTTCAGTTTCACTTTATCTATTTTTAAAACCCTAATTTTCATTTACCAATTACCACACCTAATTTCGTTTTAAGCCACATCATAAAATAAAATAATAACTAGGGGATCGGTGCAATCTGAACGAGATTTAGGTCTTATCACGATTAACTCCCGAGGGACACATCTAATTATTATGAGTACTGTTAGTAATAATTTTTTATAACTAAGAGATAATATGAAAAGGAAATAAACATTTTGAATCTGAAAGGGTTTAAATGTTATATACTAATAAAAAACAGGTATAAACTTCTATTCAATTTATTGTTATAAAACAGTAATATTTTGAGTGTTTATAAATTTATTTATTAAAATAGTTTGCATTAGAGTCATTGTAGAGAATCATGATTGTGATGTTAGACCGATTTGTGCCAGAAATTAGCATTTCTCAATACGCATTATATCCAGATAATGCATAAGAAAAGTGTATAAGAATTCACCTTATAATGAATAAAATATCATGCTATGATTTACTTAATGGTAAAAGATCAGTGGTACTTATCTTCAAATATTTACCTAACACATAATTACTATAAAACAAAACTGATACCACAAACATGGTGAAAAATAATAAATAATACCCAACTAAAACGAGTAACAACAATAACGGTAACATTAAATCTAATCTACTAATAAATATGCTATCTAGAAGGTTACTTCTTCATCACAGTTCTCCGTTGCATGGCCAAACACTAGAACAAAGGATATTTTTAATGTTATAAAATAATATGTATCTATTTAAAAATGTATAAGTATGTTTATCAGCAGTCTGGTTACCATAGTACAGGCTCTGCCTAGTTTGGGATCAGACGGCCGTGTGTGAAAAGTGTGAGATATATTATTATTAATCATATTATGATTATTTATACATTTAATATGGTGTATTTTCTTTGAGAGGATATAAAGCTTTATGTACATTCACACGCCTACATTCTTGGCCAAATATAATTTTAGTCCCATTCATGAAATTGAGGGCAACTGCGATCAAACTGTTGGCACTTTATTGATTAAATGTTAAAATTTGGAGCACATTGAAAGGAAAGATTGTTGAGAAGGGACGGCCATGGTAAGAAAGGGATATGGCTTACTCGGGTGGAGTGGGGAATGTAAGTAATAGCTCGAGTAGGTCGCATAGTTCGAGCCCGATATAGTAGAGTATACAGAAATAATACCTTCACAAATATCGCAGTAAGGTCGCGGCGGCGGTGGCGAGCGCCGAATGGCGGGCGGCGCGTCGGGCTCGGCCGCCTGGCGCGGGCACTCCTCTGTGTCGTGCGCGTCGAACACGTCGCAGATGTCGCAGAACAACCGCGGCGCCTCCGCACGGGATTTACGACCGTTGCTTCTGGAAACAATAATATACATAGTATAATACATTCATTAAGTAAGGCCTGGACTGCTTCCTAGCTAATATCAACTGAATAAAATTGGAGAAATTAGATCAAGTGCTACCTTTAAAATTCCTCTGTTAGACTGTTATATGACGCAACAACAGACTACTCTTCGATGAATTGATTTCTTTTAAACATGTAATTCTCACACTAAATACTTTTAGAGAGGGACACATGAATCGTTCAACCCGGGATAGATGACACATATAAAAATAAAATGACATGACATGATGACACATATACATGTGGAAAATAGTCACTATAGGTAAATGAGAACTAGTTAAAAATGCACCAAATTGTTACAATGGTAGACTTACAATACAGGCACGTCAGCAATGGTGCCACCTTCCAGCGCTTGAACTCTGGCCATGAGCTGCTCATTCTTGCGTTGCATGTCCACGATGACTGAGTTTAAGAAGCTTACTTGACCGTCTATCATCTCCTTGTCTTCTGATGTTCTGTGCAATATATAATACTTAATAAATAATCTTGGTCTTACAACGATCAGAACTTAGTTTAGTTCTGTTTTAAATAATAAGCAGTTCTTTCGTTGCTTTTCCTACCCCCTCTCAATTCTGGGGAGAGGTGCGCTCAAAGGGTAAGGGCAACGCCGTAGTCACTTCCTTTTGCTCGTTTGCCCATAGGGAGCGTAGATAAAAAAATATAAGTTAACTTACACGTACGGCCCAGTGTCGCCTTGTCCCAATATTCCAACAGCTTCATTATCATTCTTGTCACGTATTTCACTGCCCTTTGCGGATAACTCTTTTTGTAAGAGTTGTTTTTCTCGCTCTGTTATTTCTAATTTGGCTTTTTGGGTCTAAAAAAGGAAAGTAGCGGCACTTGTTAAAAGAAACTAGATACAATGAGAGCTTCAAACTTAGAAGTAAAGACTTTACCTTTGTGTCTTCTTGTAATTTACTTATCAACTCTTCCTTTTGTTTCAAATCTTTAATTTTGTTCTCTATATCTGCTTTTAGATTTTTTACTAATGTTTCATTATTTGCTACAGTTTCATTTGAAGATTGTTTGGCTGTTTGTAATTCGGTCATTAACTTCTCTAATTTTTTATCCTTTTCTGCGTCAGTGCTCTGTCGAACTGTCAGTAATTCAAGTTTTTGGGTCAAGTCTAGTATAGTTTCCTCGGCTTTTGATAATTTTTCTTGCATTTGATTTTGTTTTTCTATTTCCACAGTAATTTTTTCTTTGGATTCTTTTAATTGTTTTTCATAATCATTCAACATGACTTTGAGTTCGTGTTTAGCCTGCTTACTCTCTTTTTTATATTCATCGAACTGAGCTTGCAACTGTTTGTTTAGATCCTCGTAATTAGCTTTTTGAGCGTCATTGGTACTGGTCAAATGTTTAATATCATTTTCAGCTTTTTCTAAAAGCTTTTTATATTCTCTAGATTCTTCGGCTTGTTCCAACTGTGTTTTTAATGCTGAAATTTCTTGATTGGCTTCTGTTTGAGATTTCTCTAAAACTTCTTTTAACTCTTTTAGTTGTAAGGTGGACTTCCTAAGCTCCGCAAGTTCCTTGTTTTTCTTTTCAATTTCTTTTTGTAATACGTCTACTCTGTCTGTTAAAGATGATATATGGCGCATATTATTATGGGAAGCTCTACTGTTATTTTCACGATGAAGCATTGATATCTCCAACATTGCTTCGTGTGTTCCCGCTTCTAAGGCTGCATTCGTTCGAGCAATATGTATGTCTCTTTCTCGTATCATAGTATCCTTGTTCGTTATAGTTTCCCTTAATGAAGTTAATTCGTCCTGTAATTTCCGCCTATCAGTCTCATTTTTCTCAGTTTGTAATTTTAGTAAATTGTCTTTTTCTTCTAAAGATTTCATAAGTTGCTCGTGGGTTAATAGAGTTTCACAGTACTTATTTTCTAATGACTGTTTATCTTGCACTAAAACTGCTATTTCTTTTCTCAGAGGTTCTAAATTACTAAGTTGTTCTTTTAGAGCGTTTTCTTCAGCAGACGAATTTGCTATAAGACTTTCATATCTTTGTTTTATTTCTGTGGTTTCTAGAGCTGCATTGTTTAGTTTCTCTTCTAGTTGTTTTTTGATTTCTGTTGCTTTGTTGAGTTCGTCTGTGATTTGACTGAGTTGACGATCTTTTTCTGTAACGATTTCTATATTTGATTTAACATCGACTTCAAGCATTTCTAGTTTTAATGTAAGTTCTTTAATGTTGTTTTGTTTTTCTTCTAATAATTCTTTCAATCGGATTTCTTCTATTTTATTTTTATTTGATTCCTCTACAACCGCAGATAAATGATTTCGTAATTGCAACAATTCCTTTTCATGTTGCTCTTTTTGACTGTTTAGCTGAGAGGTCATGTCGTCTAAAATTTTTTGCAAGGAGTCTTCATGTTTTCTTGCTTCTTCAAGTTTATTATTTAAGTCGTTTTGAGCTTCTGTCAACTGGTCCACTTTTTCCATGAGCTTAATTTCTGATGTCGCACCATCTGCTTTTAAAATTGATATTTCTTCTTTATATCTATCTATATCAATTTCTAATTTCTTGCGTATAGATTCATGTTCATGGTTTTGCTCCTGCTCCTTAATTTTAAGGGCATCTATTTCATTCTTTAACATTGTATTTTCGTCAAGCAGTTTGTCACTCTCGGATTGCAGATTCTTTAGCCGATCCTTTATGTCAGTAGTTTTAATTTCAAATTCTTTAATGTTGTTTTCTGCTTCTTTTAATTTTTCAATGTTTAAGTTGGCTGCCTCTACTAGTTGCCCACGTTCTACTGAAAATTCTTCTTGTACTATATACAACTTCTGTTTTAATTCTTGCTCAGTTCGTGCATAAGAATTAATAATTTCTCTTTGCTTGTCCTTAAGGTCTTGTAGTTCACTCTCCGTGTCTTTCAGGTGTTGTGACAATTTGTTAAACTGTTCATTAGAATCTGTTGTTTGTCCAGTTAAATTTAAATACTCTGATTCTACCTTCTCTTTAGCCTTTTGTAGTTCTTTACACTTTTCATTGGCACTGTTTAACTGACGATTATATTCACCAATTTCCAATTCCATTGCAGAAATTTTGGATTTTAGTTCAATATTAATTTGGGTTAGATCGTTGACCGATTGTTTAAGTTTCTCATTTTCTTCTTTTAGTTGTCTTAATTCATCTACATTAATTAATAATTGAGAATTCAATGCATCAAACTCAACTTTGCTTTGGTCCAAGGTGTGCTTGTGACCTTCAATTTCTTTGAGTAGCTCTTCTATTTTAGTGTTTCGTTCATCTATTTCTTTCTTATGCTCTTCGGCGATTTTACTATGTTTGATGTTGAAATTAGCGGTTATTTGCTCAAAGTCATCTTTTAGTTTAATTATTTCTTTATCTCTTTCGTGTATGGTTTGTTTATATTCACTAACAAGTTGTTCAGATGAGTTAGTAGCCACATTTAACTCAGACTGTAGCTTTTCATATTCTTTAACCTTAGTGTTTAGACTTTGTTGTAATTCGAATATCTCTGTTTTGTTATTTTCATTTTGTTGAGAAATTTCATTCAATAAGCCTTCATATTCGTTCACTTTATTACTATATTCATTTTTGACATGGTTAATTTCATCCTGTAGAGTTTTTAAAGCGATTTCTTGTTTTTTTTTTGAGTCTTCTAGTTCTTCTAAATCTAATACTTTAGCGCTAAGTTCCATGCGCAGTTTGGTGACTTCTTTATTATGGTTTACTTCATGTTCTTTGCTTACACCGATCACTGAAAAAAAAGCACGTAAAAGTCAATGTTTTAATAACACAAACAGACATACTGTAGATAAAATAGGAGTTATGGTTATACCTTTATTTAATTCTAGAGTTTTATCATCTACAGCAGCTTGCAATTGAGTCAATTTAGTATTTAAATCTATAATAATTTGGCTGTTTTCCTTATTATATTTTTCTAAGTTTTGTTTCTCCGTCTCCAGTTTAGACTCCGCTAGTTGCAGTTTGCCCGTCAATACCGAGACTTTAGTCTCGAATTCCGTCTGTGCGATTGCCATTTTTGTTTTAGCTTCATTTAATGCTCTTTCGGAATCGTTCCTGACACGAGCAAGCTCCTCCGACATGCTTTTACCTAGTGAATCTTTTTCGTTCTCTTTCTCTTTAAGGAGACCGTAAGCTTCATCTAAAAGTTTCTGCAACTCAGACGATAAAGCTGCAACATAAACACCAATATGTCAATAACATTTTTAATCAATAAAATGTCATCATTACGATAACGTGAAACCTTTAACTCATGCCTCCAATTCTAAAATAGTAATCTTTTTAAATATTTTCTAACTCTTAGACTATATTTTTCATACTAATCTGACTAAAAGCCGTATAAAGTTAAAAGTTGGTACAATGATTTCGGTTCTTCAGTCGGCCAATTTTTTTATATGAGTTTTGCAGACACCCTTGGTAATGACGGTGCAAGGTACGGGTATCAAATTTCCTAAGCTTCCTAACCAAGTTGTAGTCGTGCATTGTCATGACGAAACAACTGCCGTTCTATTCGCCAATTCTGGTCGCTAATGCTGAATTCCTTGGTTTGTTTGAGTTGTGTATATACAGTATAAGATTGATGGTTTGCCAGACTGCAGCAGCTCAAAATGAACATTCATTGTAATTTTACCAAACAATTTTGTTTGCCGACAGTCCAGGCTTTCAAGTAGTTTTATGATGGTCATTGTTCTTTGATCATTATCATATATTTTAACAATTTTTCATCGTTTGCGTTGTACCAGCTTTTTAGGCAATGTATTCGGTACTTTTTCAGGTATTATACTCAAGTCAATATACCTAACTTTTAACAAAAAAAAACGAAGTAGAACAATATCTTCAAAAATTGTGAAATGTCATGTTGAAGAAAATTTCGCGTGAAAATGAAAATGTTGATGCCTCTATCAAGAGGCATCAACATTTTCTAGTGGCAAAAAACGGTACAAAAAGTTTAAGGGTCAATTGTTTTTTTAATAATTTTGTGGTTGCAAATTGGATCTTCATCTTATAAGGCGGCTGCCGGAGAGTAGGCATGCTTTTAACCTCAGGCAATTTAACTTTGTAACTATAAAGTGTACTAACTTTGTGCAGCGTTGAGTTCTTCTCTGTGTTGTCGTTCAATTGCGGCAGCCTCCATATTGCGCTGTTCTTCCATACCACGCAAAGCGGTCGCGTTTGCTTCAGCCCTCGTTAGCTGCAAGTCGGCCTCAACTTGTAATTGTCGGATGGCTCGTTCACGGAGCATAAGTTCTTGCTGTCAAAAAAGTTCAAAATTAAAAATACTCTAGATTTAAAGTTACAGAGGCCAAGTCATAGTGTATATCATCGCTCGGCGTTCTGTTATCATATTTTGTATCCGATCGTTTACTACGAGTGAAAAGGTTTTTCAGAATCTGATACGTGGGATCTTATATTAATCCGACTTTAATTGTTAAATGAATGGTTAAAATACAGCTTTGGAAGGATTTAAACAGCGGACTGCAGTTTTTAATTAAAGGAGGAAGGCTGTCGTGTTCGATGGATCACCGGAAAATGTATTAAATATGAAAAAACTTAAGTAATTTCTCGTTTATGCATAAAACTATTTTTCAATATACTCCCTCTTTGACTGTACTTTTAACAAAAAATAATTTGATGAACTTACCTCCATTGCTTCTCGAAATCTCTGAAATAAGACAGAATAATCTTAAAGAATCCAATATTTATTGCCCTATTTGGAAAAGATAAACTTTCAGGAAAGTGACACATTTTATAAAGTAGATACTAGAGTAAGTAAAAATTTTTTTTAGTTGTTGTCGTTGATTGATTAAATAAAACTTACATTATGGTCTTCTCTGTTAATATTTTCTTCTTCGTTTCTGAACATAAGATCTTCTACTTTCTGCTTTTCATCTTCCAGCTGCTTAACAACTTTATCCAATTCAGCTTTCAGCTTACTATTTTCTGTCGAAGTCTGTAAAAGTATTGAAACCTATCATAATATCACAATCGGTAAACGTTATTTTTTTATTGTTTCGAGATTGCTCTAGTGTATGTTTGTACTAATTTGTATTTTACAAAAAGGTGTTTTTTAACCGAGTTCATAAACGTAAGTTCTTATTAAATCTGGCTTTTTGTATTTTACCTGAAAACTGTATAGGACAACTCCTAAGCAGCCCGCACCTACCTTAGACTGCTTTATATGTTGTGGTAATTTGAGTGTAAGCGTTATTTGATTTTATTTGAGGCATGTTAGATAAGATTGAATATTTTTATACTGAGATTCTTGCTTTTAAACATTAGTATCATATAACATGCATTCAATTCATTCATTCAATCATTCCTTTTGCGAGCGAATGTGCGACTTTTAAGCACATAAGATTACGTCAAACAGATCCTGACAAAAAGAGCAGAAATCTTAAAAAGGCAGGAAAGTTATAAAGATACTGCAGTTGTGAATTTCATTGTACGATTTCATGGATTTTCTTTTGATGAATAATTTATGGTCTCCTTTAAAGCTGAGAAGTTTGTAAATAAATGTACGAAGTGTCAATTCATTAATCTTTATAAAAACAAGCATTTTTTTTGCTACTTGAGAACGTGTCCACAAGCGAAATACGTTATACGTAGTTATTTTTTACAGCGTTTAAGTCAAATCAAGTGTATAAATGTGAATTAATGTTATCATACAGAACTTGTTAATTTAAAAAGGGCGCAAAACTTAATTACCTTTTAATCAAGATTTGATATGGCGTTTTTTAAGTACAATGACCCAAAAAAAAACATGTATGCAGGTTTTTACGAGATTGTCTGATCGAGATTGTCTGATATCTGACTTTTTTAGTAACCTTATTTTAAATAGGCAAAAAAAATATATTTTAAATAACTATTTACTCCCCGTATCGCATGAGGACTACCTGTAGTCCTTATGTGATCAATACGGGGGCCTATTTTTGCAATTACTATCATAGAACGCAGAAAAATGTATGATTCGTATTTAGAACATATCAAATATATCGAATGTAGATTTTCCAATATTTCTGGGAGATTAGCCTAATAATTAATAATTTGCAAGAAATTATGTTTAATTATATATGTTTTTGTTAGTACTGGGGAACTAAAAAGAAGCGAGCTTTTGTTATTGATCTTGCAACTTTCAATGTTGCTTTAAGTACCTGTGTGGCTTCTTTCTTCAGCTGTGTAAGTGCACTTTCAGCGCGATCAGCTTGTAGAGATATCTTCGCCATTTCGGCACGTTCCATCTCTCTCTCGCGCATCAGTCGCTCCAGGTGCTGTTGTTTCTCTCGAAGTAGCTCCTGTCAAACCCAAAATATGTGTTACAATTTGTACAGAAATTGCTTGAACAAATCATAAGTTAAACAAGAACTGAAATTATATAGCTCTAAGCAGTAGGTACATATTACCAAAGCATCATGTTCCGACAACATAAAAATATAATTATAACTTTACATCTAAAATATTGTTAAATGTAATATACTTATTACTATCACTTATCTTACTAACTTTTTTTTCGTTAAAGGAATATCCTCATGGATGTCCTTTGCCAATCGCGGGATGGCGAAGGGGTCTGTTGGACATTTACCGACTGAAAATCACCCCAGTGTTCCTCTCCTTGCCAATGACCGGGCCAATTACCAATGACTAAAGCGAGAATCGCAATTGCATTCTTCCGCCGCCCCCGACAGGCATTGACCCGTCTCACCTAAGACGGATCTCGTCACCCGTTGCGACCGTCACCCCTCGGTCGCAGTCGTGTACAAACGCACATGGAACACTGTGCGCTGCTTCTCGGGCCTGTATCTGTTCGGACGTTCGCCCGCAGGCCACTTCCTAAGGTGGCCAGAGATCGACGAATGACCTTCACCCTTCTGCAGGTAGAGACAGCGGTGCTGCGTTCTCTTTCCCGTCCTGCTGCTTCCTTTGTGGACATCAGATCGGATCAGGACATCAGATGTTGCACTCTCGTTGCGTGACAAGCTGTTAGTTATGCATGAAGGTCACTCTAATGGTATCACGAGAGCATCTCCAAACCTGCAGTTTTACATATTAATCCATTATACTAATATAACATTACAAGTATTTAGTGCACAGTACAATATTTACTATTAATCAATAGATAATTTAATAAAGAAATACCTAGAATTTCAAAGTGAATCATTACATCATATAATATGTGATTCTTTGCTACAATATTTCTATATGTATTTGTAACAAATAGAACTATAATTACTGTTAAGTATTTTTCCAAGCCTAGTTTGTGGTAAACATTATTTTTTAAGCGTTATTGTAGTAGTTGCTACATTCTACGTAAAGACTGTAAAAACCACACTTGAAAATTTGTTTTCTAAATATATTAAAACATCAATGGTAATTTTGCATCTATGCTAAGTACTTGATAGTACCAATTAATTTTTATAAATTAAGAGAGCTAATTTTGGAAAAGAGATCAGTGAAGTAGGTACCTTATATCCTGAGATTTCGTAATTTATCTCTTTATTAATTTTGGTAACAGACAGTGGTCTTTTATACATAATATCAAAATGATTTCATAATCATAATGAGTTATGAATTTGAATGCCACACTGCTCACTTAACTATTAATGGATTGTAACTCAGTAACTATTTACATATACCGTTATTACATATACCCAAACGAGCGGCAGATCGAATTAAAATTCATATTTTTCAATGTTCTAAGCATACCAATATAGCTACATATACTCTCATATTCGTATACTTAAGTTCAGTACTCTTGACACGGCTTCAGATATCATTTAAATTTCCGCTACAGTTGGTATTTAATTATTTTGCTCAAATGCTTAGCTACTAAGTACTTAGATTTTCCCTAGCCTTACCCAATTAAGACTTATTTAATATACCGTAGTTGTCATTTGATATACTAATAAATGTCTTACATATTTTTGATATATATAATTATTGTTTCAAACATACATTCACAATTAAATGGCCAAAGGGTTTAACAGTCATTATTCTATATATTTTTCAATCCCATAGCATTAGCATAATGACTGCACGGATGACGTAGTGGTTTAAGCGGTCGCCACGCCGCTCACTACTATGCCGAGTGTAGTGGGTCCGATCCCCACATGGAACGACCACTGTGTGATCCACAAATTGTTGTTCTGAGTCTGGGTGTTCTTTGTGTTCGTTTCTTGTAGGTTTGTAAAGTCCCTCGTGACACAGGATTTATTTCTAAAAAGTGGGTTGTCTTTAAAAAATAATAATCATAATAATGTATTGGCATATAGCGAACGATCCATCCAAAATAGGTCAAACTAAATCACATTATTATGAGAAAAATAGTGCGGAATTCTACACTAAGTTATGTACAAAAAAGTAATATAGGTGCGCATTGGTTAGAAGGAATAGGAGCCTTTGCCGGTGTTGGCGGGTGTGCTTCTGGTCAATTTTGAGGTGCAAAGACGTGCAGTCATGTACTATTCAACACTAGAAAACACATTTTTTGGGCTCACGAGATCGCAATAAAATCACAAGGTTGCTTTAATAGCAGTCCGATGTCTGTAATGACCTCATAGACGAATGGCAACAACGCTGGGACAAATCATCTAAGGGGCGCCACCTTTATCAGTTCTTTCCATCTGTTCGCTAACGGTTGTCGAGGACATGGCTTGAGGTGCATCACAGTGTCGCTCAATTTCTTGCAGGTTATGGTAACTTTAAGAACAAACTGCATTCATTTAAATTAATGAGTCACCATTGTGTCAGTGCTCAACACCTAAATTTAACTGTGAACAGTCTGCTCATCATATCCTCTGGGAATGTAGTCATTGGTATAATGAACGTAATATACATAACATGTATTTTGTAAATTTAGCCGTAAGCTCCCCAAATATAATAAAAAAAAAATATAATGCTAAATAGCATATGGGGATTTTGTGTCAACTAGAGTGAATTTCCGTGCGTTTAGATGATTCTGTCAGGTACATCTTTTTAAACAAATATGGCTCACGGAAGCATTTCATATTTGATATTTAGGTATATGTAGAAAAAGGTCACAAAGATAAATGTTTAAGCAATTTGCGCTATAAACCTAAAAAATATGTATAAACGTTTAAGTACATAAAATATAGGGGGTCCTGAAAATTTTTGACATCAATAACAGATCAAGTTGTACTGGTTAGAAAATAAAGCAAAATCCAAATTCGATATAAAACCAGATTTATAGTAGTATAAATAAGTACAAATCCTAATAAATACTGCGTCACTAATTGAACGGTTAAGAAGTCTTGTCTATCTCCCCTCCCACTCCCTTCTTATATTTTTGATATTCCCAGATAGGTGTTATGTATGAACTTTGCGAAAGCAAAAAAGGATCCTGGATAGAGATAATTTCAAATGGCTGTCGTAAAAGCGCCATTGACGTGACTGTTTCATATTTATTTATTATTAGCATCCCGGCCCGGCTTCGCACGGGTAGCAGAGCATATAATAATTATACCTACATTTTTTTTTTGTTGAAGTGTCGTATATCAGCCTGTTACGTCGAGCATTAACCTTAAAAAATGTAAAAATGCACTTGTTGAAGTTTGACCACTGATCAAAATTGTTTGGCTAAATGTTTGGTTTGGTAAATTATTATCTAAAATTAATTTGACAAAATAAACTACAAACATATTTAAAAGTAGTCCATTAATGAAAATTGTATAAAAATCCTTGTGCTTTTAGAGTTTATCGAGTTCAGGTAGACGCGACGGTGTCTTTTTTTTTTTAAATGTAGTGATTACACATTTTGCTTTGATTGTTATTATTAGCTCTTTTAATTAAAGGAAACAAGACTCTAATATTACTTACTAATAATCTAATAGCACTTATTGTCATCGAGACTCCGTACCTATTTAGTTAGTTTAAATTTCTTCAGTCATACATACATAATTATATCTAACCATTTGTACAAAAAGATTGCACATGATGTGTGACCTTGCGACGAGTCAGTTATCAGTTCAATACTTTTTTGATAAGTAAATTGTTTGCAAACCTACTAAAAGCAACTTAAAAAATAAAAACTCTTATATGCTACATGCCTACCGGTGTCTTATCAAACTAAAGTCAGAGTCATGCAGCTATTATAATATAAACACGTCAACAAAATAAAAAAACAATCAACCACAAAACATTTTTATACAGTTAAACGTAGTAACATATTTTTAGTTTTATCTGTAATTACGTCAGTCCTTTCCAAGGTCAGGTCTACTAAGTATTAGGTAAGCTATATAGTGGACGGTGATTACTAGCATGACTTAACCGTACGTAGGCTAGTCATGTACAAAACCTTCTGTGAAATCAATCTATGTAATTTATTCGTCTATATAATTTAAGAGCGAAATGCATTTCATCTTGTATAAAGCAATAACTCGTGCATGTTACGGGGCAATGTTCGAACAAATGCTTTATGTCAGAATGTAAATCTTTATTGACTATTACGGCAATTACAATGCAATTGCTTTTTTAGATTTTATTGCGTCAGATGGAGAAATTGATGGCCTACGGAGCTTTAATTGCGTGAGTAAATTGTTATATCTACCTATCAGTCGCATATATGACTAGAGAATCGCCTATTCATCGGTTCAACATTTACACTAAGTAATATTTTTCTCATCATGATAATATAAAAATCACGGATGTCGAGCAATCGAATCACATATCAATCAAAGATGATCAACTCAATGATTCAATTAAAGCTTCAGTTTCTTACCAATTACCAAGGGTACTTATATTCTTTAAACTGCAAGCGCCACATACAGTGTTTAAAAAGCCAATATTTCCAAAGCCTTTGTTAGATTAGGTTAACTGCCACCGATAATAATAATTGATGCATCTCGAAAAGGTTGCGTCAACTTATCCGCCTCAGCAGTCATAAAAAAACTCGTAATAGTGGACGTTGACAGTCCGTAATCAATATTCTGACAAATTGCGATCGTATCAATTTAAATCCGTGCGTGTCCGTGTGGTGACAGATAAAGAATACAGAGTGTCACCACCCCTATTCGTCCCGTGGGTGTCGTAAGAGCAAACTACGCAAGAAAACAGCACTGCAAAGAGACGGAAAACTTGACACAATCCTGTACCAACCCGTCTGGCCAGGCCAGCGTGGTAAGGCCAAAACTTCCTTTCTAAGGAGAGGTCTGGGTCCAGCAGTGGACAAATAAAGGCTGATGAATAGAGATAACAAAAACTTATGTCTAAGTCGAATATTTATATAATTAGGAATGTACGATAAAAACGAGAACCCTAATTAAATGTATTTCAGACCTAGACCCCCTGTCGATATTCACCATCATACTATCTGTATAGTCTGCAGAACCCATATGGGGGCGTGATGCTATGCGTTTCGTAACCTAACCTAACACGGCTATATATATATTCTAAATGAATATTTATAAAACACTAATAAGGACACGTAACTGGTACAAGATCTCAAGTTAGGTGTGTAATTACTCATTTAAAGTTTGTTTGGAATATAACAAAACGTGTTATAGCCTACTCTACAGCTAATTATTTAAAATATGTTCTTAACGTATTCTATCCATTCCATTAAAATAATACATCATAGCCAGTGGTGTACGACCTCGAAAATATACGAGGGATTTCCCTTGAGATGGATTCGTTACATTAGCTCTGCAACGAGCGTAGCAATCAGACATCTAAATGGTAACCTACTCCCTCAGTAATGTATAAAAAAATGTACTTATTAGGTAGGTAAGTTTAGATAGTTTGATAAATAGTAGCCATGGGAGTTGTAGGATACTGTAGGTCACTAACGTCTCTTCGACGAGTAAAAGCTTCAAGGATGTTGCGCCATTACAGCCTGCCGGAAAATCGATTTTCTACCCGACGTGCTTTTAGTACACAATTTTACGTTTTAGTGTGTTTAACAAAATATGAACCTATTTAAAAGTAAATTTTAATGTCTCGCTTACGTTATCGATCTTTAGTTAGCCTCATTTACTACTTGTGTTATGCATGATCTTTGATAACTAACTTTTCAACTGATACCAATTACATAATTGGTAGTAAGAACGCATTGGATTTATTCTGAATAAGTTAGATATTTCACTTTCGAAGGGCAACGGGTAAGTTATTTATCGCGGAGTTTATAAAGGGCACGGGCCGTACTACAAAGGGCACGTATTTTGTTCGTATTTTATTGTATTTCCGATGTCCTAAAGCCTGTAAAAACATATTGAATTAGAACATTAACTAGATTTAAAATACGTTTACGAAACATATCCTAATATTATACCGGGTGTCAGAAAAGTATCGGAGGAACAGCGGAATAATTCGCTAGGGATGCATTTTTCAGCAATACGATAAACACAAAAGTTACAGGAATTTTCCCCGGCTATCCATTGGTGGTCTTGAAATTGACCTTGATCAAGGGCAATTTTCAAATGGGATTGCATATTTTTGAGCCCGGAATTGAAAAGAGAACATCCTGTGTGTTCTAGTGATATTAGCCTTATTTTTATCTCAACTTTGTATCTGGACTTCGATAGTAAATTTTAACGCAAAAGCAACTACTTAATTATCACGTTCCTACATATTGATTTTCCAACATGATTTAAATTTTGAAAACGTATTTTACATCGATAGTTCAAAATGCTGCTAACTTGCAAGTTTTAAAAAACAATTTGACTAGACAAAAATGTAAAAGCATTCAATATTTTCTGAAATGACGATGAAACGAAGAAAATTATTCAGTGGAAGAACATATACTCGTTTTAGTAGGTAAAATCTGATGAATAATGATTGAAAGACATCATAAATTTTCGAAATGAGTTAAGGGAATTACCGCACTTATAGCAGGTACTAGACCTCGAGACTAACACGCACAATGGGACTAGTCACAACCAAGGACCTTCAGCAGAGGAAAAACTAGACATCAATGTCACAATATAAAACGAGACATGGTTGTTTTGGTAAATGGAAGCTACTTAAGAGGTTTTACCTACGCAAGTAGTCCACGTTTAGTGTGAAAAATAACTACAAAATGCTAAAGAATAAAGACAGGGAGTTTATTTTTTTACTTGGTTCTATGATCGTTGTTCTGGCCAGTGTGATATTGAATCATCGTTGAGAGAACTGATCGGCATCATCTCAAACGATAGAAAATATTCGTATGTGACTGAAGTCGATTATTCGAGTTACGCAAGTAAAAATTCTGACCTATACAAGTTAATGTGTAAGAGCTAATGGCAAGAAAAATAACACTCCACGCGGGGACTGGACTAACCAGTGAATTGCTTTGAAGTAGTCCTTCCGCAAGGAAGTACCGTTTCCTTCTACTGAGAACACGTAGTTTCTTTTCGTTCGTTCAAAATAAAATTCAGACGTTACTGTTACGATAATAACTACTAAGACTGAAAAATAACAAATATTTGTAGGGATGTTATTTAAAAAGCATATTTTTCTTTGACGAAAAAGATTCAGATTCAATTTCTTTACATATATATACTAATAATATCATGCTTATTATAAACCAGATCCAGATACCATTTTGAAGTACAAAGTAGAAACCTCACCCAGAATACAGCAAACCCGGCTGAAGCTTATTCAAGCGTTTGATAGAAGTACCAAAATATTTACATGTATACAACTCATACCGTATCCCATATTTGTTTACTAAGGTATTTATAAACAATTTATTTATAGCCACAGCGCCATTTAGACTTGTGAATAATTGGGCCACTTTGTTTTATTCACTTCTTTGAATGAAACTGATAAGATACCTATCATTCCAGAGATTCTAGGAGGTGGTGATGTAATAATTAACAATTACATAAATAAACTTACTAATGGAATACTTGCAAGTAAGTGTTACCAAATATAACTATTCTGAGAATACAGGTACGTGATTTTGCCAAGTTATAATGTCGTCATATCAATTCCATCGGTATTCAAATCGAACCAGTTAAATGCACGTGCGAGTATACCTTCAAAACATTATTGTTCGTGGTACATGAACACAATAATGTTGAAATAAATAAGACATTAAAACGCTATAGAAAAAATCATGAGTTTGGCATAAAATTTACTTAATTATTTCGCCCATAAATGGTGGCTTGAATATTGAATTACTTTTATTACACCCGAACAGACATACTGAAGAGAAAAAGGATATCAAATTATTATAGCTAATGTCCCATATCAGTGTCAAACCTACACATGCATGCCTCCACGTAAGCTGTACAACTCGACAACGTTAGAAAGAACTGTAACTGTGCAATAGCGAAGTTAATATGAAGCAGTGAACTTTATTGCACCAATATCAAGTTTTTCTAAGCATTCGGTATAATATTAGTATATTATTATACAATTTTCGCTAATGTAATTAAAAATTTAGGTATTTAATAATATTATGTCAAATGAGAACCGTTATATCAACTGAAGTACTCGTAATATTGAGAACTAGTAAATGCTGCAAAATTAATATCGATGTTTCATACCTCATCACAGTATCGTTCAAAATTGAAATTGCTACAAATTTTCTCTGTAACATTGTCGAGTGGTACACAATATATTGTACAGCAAATTATTGATGCAATAAAACAACAAACAACTAAGTCTTAATTATTTATTATCACCAAACACCAAGGAAAGTGCTAGGTAGGACAATAATACACAAGTAATGTAGTACATTTTATTAAAACTATCCTGCCACATTAGTTACTATTTCTCATTACAACAATTAGAAACTATTCTAAGTCTATGTTACACTAATAGTAGTAGAGATTTTAATAACAAGTTGTATAACAATCTTAATAATATTATTAAAAAGTGAAAACCTAAGTAGCAATGGAATGCTTGTGTTCAAGTGAGTCTTTAGAGTTATGAATATCATCATCATTACTTACAGGCACTGGTCAGTATTATAAACTAAGATAAATAGACATAAAATGCGTCTGGAATATAAATAATATAACTCATTTTTTTTAAACATAACCAAAGTATCACAGTGTTGTGACGGATCAAAATGTTTTTCTAACAGCTATTATTTTACAGTGAAAGCTCATTTGGCGAGTTGTCGGAACATGATCATTGTATAAATAAAAATGTTTGTACTCTGAAGTGCTTAATAATTGACGTATTGTTAATATAGATATATTAAAATATCATCGAAACCTTGCTAGAGTAAAGTAACAACAATACTTTTTGCAAACCACATCAATAACTTAAAGGTTTTGCATGGTCTCGGCACATAGAAAAAAAAAATTCTACTACGAGCCGAGCTCAAACGAAAGCTATTGTGTTTTGCTTATTAGAAGTACAGGACGGCCTGAATTGAAATGTATATAATTAGGAGTTTAGTTAGTAAGTATACAAATTCAAAAACAGAAAACAAATAAATTACAATTACGTACATTCGTTGTCGTTTTAGTATAATGAGACAAAATTTTAAATTTAGTTGCTTGCTCAAAATTCAACAAAGGGAGTCCCGTATCGCCGACGGCACGGATGCTGAACACTGACTCAACAAATGTGCCGAAATTTAAAACAACTTATGACGGTAGCACAACATTATAACAGTAATGGTAGTACAACAGTCCTAAATTTTGTAAAGGTTTTAAGAATCGGCACACAGGTTTCGTGCGCGTAGGCAGCCTACCGCGCGGCGATAGTGGGGTACTGTACCTGCAAGGCATTCTTCGCGGACACCGGAGTGGAGGAAGCTCTGGGACCACCAACTCGCTGCAGCCGTGCCGTTAGTGACAGTGCGAATGCGCAACAAACATGAGAGAAAACAACACGCGTTAACGCACTCACCTTCCACTACATGGTGACATCATACTGTTGGACACTATTTAGCTTCATTAGGCAATAAGAACATTTTAGCTGTGACATTATTGCTCATTGAATTTAAAGAGGTTCGAAAAAATGTGGTTTTTGCATTGCTTTTATCAATTTCACGTGATTACATTATTCATTGTTCTTATTGGCCACATCAATTTAAATAGAATCAATCAGTTACAACTTGTTAAATTGCAATGATAATTTCATGGTGTAGAAACACCATGGAGTGGATATTAGTTACGATAGATGGTGTGTTGTCTCACACCAACTGTCGTATAGCAAATTAAAAAAAAGCTATAAAACTAATGATTTAGAGGTACGTACACATTCTAATTATTGAGGGTGCTAGTAAACATTACATATAGGGTATAGAATGTATTACATAATACAGATAGTATAATATAATAGGGTTAGGTATATACACTCTTGAAAAACACGTTTGAGAAACATGAAAGTCTTCTACAAAACTACTAACTATGAAAATTGCTACACAAAGGACTATCAAGGAAAGGGCTATAAACATATCTTTGGATACACAAGTCTTTACAAATATTGACGAAGTTTCAGACCACAAAAGCCTCATAAAACTTGTCTTTTATTATATAAAAGGCAACAGCGTTGACAAAGGTTAGTGAACGTCTATGCAAAGTAACTGTTAATTCAGATAACACAAAGGTTTGTTGTATTATATAGCCCTTATAGGAGGACCACCTAAAAATAATATCACAGTCAGAGAACATGAAGAAAAATATGATATGACTATTGCAGTCTTTTAAAACTATACCAAACTAAATAAGGGCAAACTAGGAGCAAAGTCAGATGAATCACTACTTCCAAATAAGTTTGTTCTCGACTCACTGCCATCATAATAGTGACTAACATTCTAGAAAACTTAAGTACGAATAGTGAATAGAAAACAAAGCAAAAACGTATATAATAGTTAATAAAAAATTAACACAAGGGCCAAACCAAGGAGTGCCAGCTACAGACGAAAAATAAACTAAAACCAATTCTCATGCAAAAAAGCACTTTCTATATGAAAAGGTACCATTACTATTGCATGTCATATTTTTATTTACGTGTATCTTGCTCAGTTTGCTCAGTTCATATATTTCAATCCTAGGTACAAATGTTTTTATTGACATGTACACACTTACCTAATAATCCATGATAGCGATAGCGTGTACTTTAGGCATAAATAAATATAAACTGGATGTCGCGTATCAATAAAATTTTATCTCGAAGATGGCATATTACAACATTTCCAAAATATGAGTTACGTGAGGTCTTAAAACCTTTTAGGCATAGGACTCTTGTTTTAAACTTGATACTAACTATGCAGAATATATAACTAAAGTTAAAGTATAAATCTAAACATATTACCCAATCAAAATATTATAAAGATTCAAATGTATACAACATAAGGGTATGTGAATTGAAATGGTGACACGCAAGAGAAATGGTAACTTTTCCCAAAGCCTGAAAAGTGGGTGCGTGGCGGCGGCATCTCCACATAAATGTCAGTAGCTGCGGCGACCCCGTGGCTGGCCCTCGTCACGGCGGCCGGCCGACCCCCCCATCGCACCACCTCACCGCCCCCACCCCTAGAGCCTCTAGAACCCCGCGACACCGTACCGCTTGCGCTGCTACCACTCGAATCGCTGCGACGTGATCTTTCTGATGGGCTTTGAAAGCTTATCACGCTTTCTGAGCAACGCCAAGACTTGGGTAAAGTCTCACTAGCCCATCGTCGAGGATTTAACTCCTTACATTTGTCCTTTGATCGAAATATTACATCATAATAAACTCGAGGCTGTGGTAGAGCTATAATAGCACAGCGGTCATTCTCGACATGCTTGACGATAAGTGTTTTGTCAAGCAGACTAGGAGCGCTGCGGTGCGATCTCGCACGGGCTGGGGACAGCGGTGATCGCGACGAGCGAGGTTCGGCTGACCGTGCGCGGGGCTAGCCTACCTGAGCGCCTAGCGAGGTAACCCCGAGCCTCACCCCAATGCGAGACGATGCAATAGATGTGCCTAGAGACGTCAAAGACTCTCGCGAATTAGAGCGCCGCAGAGGTGTTGCCCGACCATTGCTGTGGATTGCGCACGCTCCCGGCTTACGATTTGATGGCGACCGGGAAACCTTCGAAATTGGCGCGAACAAACCGAAGCGGGGCGAGCAATCGAAATACCTGAAAGTTCCAAATAAAATAAATTACAGTTCTAAAAACCACCGTAAATCTATGATCACCACATGTTTTGCAACATCAAATTTGTACCTCTTGCCATCTACCGAACCATCATTTTTTCCAAGAGGATCATCAAGTTCTACACCTGCCCAGACACCAGTGGCAAAATCGGTGGCTCCTACGTAACGTAATATGCCAGCTTTGCTACCGCGACTGCTAGATACAATAACTCGATCGCCAACGCGAACTTCTCCATTAGTGGTAGTTGATATTGAAGCATCTGTAGGAGCAGAACTCTTATTAGCGACATTATACTTTATAAGTTTCTCAATTATTAGAAACTTTATTAAGACTTACTCATTTTACTGCTGACCATGCTGCGTACGCTGCCATTCGGCGAATGTGCGCGTCTGAGTCTAGTGCCTGATGGCGGGCGTTCGAAGACGCTGCCTGCATCTGAGATCGGAGATGCATCGTGGGGTGCATGTGTTATAAATGGGACACGTGTTAAACGAGTTAAGCGGGAGAACACCCCACGTTTTTCAGGGCATTGGAAATATCGCACTCCGGCAACAGACCCATCATTTTTTCCTGAAAAAAATTGTTTGGTTATATTAAATCCTAACAAAAGTAAATGGTCTGAATCTTATAATTATGTTTTAAAATACCTATAGGATCATCAAGAACAATGCCAGCCCAATCTCCAGGAGCGAACTGTGTTTCGCCAATGTACGCAATTTGGCCGGGTTTAGTACCACCCACCCAAACTCGTTCACCAATGATAAAACTGTCAGTATCTTCTGTTAAAATAACACTATGATCTGGAATAACAGAATAAAAACATTAAAGAACTATAGTTAGCCTATTTTACTTCTTACAAGTTGATCTTTGATATTAATAAAACTTGAACAATTTTACAATTCTGCAACGTTCTAAAGAGAAAATATATTAATGAAAGTATTGTTCAAAAAGGATTGCGTTATGACTCTTTGAATATGTATGGCTATCTTTCCTATTCCGAGCACACGTTATACGTGCATATGAGTTGAATAAGTACCGTTGTGTGCAAGTGCATAGCCATTGGTCTAACTCGCAAACGAGTTTGCATATCTTACATCGAAATTACGGCGCTTCGTTCCATACAACAACAAACTGCATTTGACTTTGACGACAGCAACTACGTTCTGTAAAGAAATCTCAAAAGAAACTCATGCTTCCAACCATTGTAAATTAGCGCATACACCATCATAAAGCACATAAAATACTCGCCACATCTAAAGAGCATGGTGATGAGTGCGACCTATAGCGCATGGTTTGCTATAGTATATATCTAGTGAAACGGAAGATGTACTGAACCAAAATTACTTCCACGACAATTTTATTGTTATGTAACTAACGAATAGAATGTATAGGTACGTTGTATGACGTCAGATCAGTTAGCATTTAATAGTCGTGAGAATGTTGTTAGAATTGTCGTGGAGAATAATTTTGCCAGGAAAAAGCGTGCCAGTTACCTGATGACCTCCTGAGGCCAGCCTCGCTGAGGCGCCGCGGGTACTTCTCCCATAGTGAGTCCATGGAGGTGACACTGAACGTGCTGCTGGCTGCGATCACACACAAGCGACACACACATACACATTAGCCACTAACTAGACAAAGTAACTGCGCCTACTTCACATGTCATTTCTTAAAATTTTATCTGATTATAAGGTGAGTATTTTGACTTTCATTACTCAGGAAGATTTTACTCTCATCCTAATTTAGGTAGTTTATTGCCTTAGGTGTTATACATTTCCTTATGTAACATGTAATTTTTTTTTATATACAATATAAGGAACATGTTTTTACACTTATCTTATATACGGTTAAATCAGAAATAGAATAGACATAGCAATATATTTTATTATTAAGTTATTAATAGCTTACAGTGATATTAAAAGCTCAGTACTCATTAAGTAATTTATGTTGTTTCTTTGTATTCAGTATGAGACAAGACGGCAGTAAAAAATCATACATTATAATGGAATTATGAATCGATTTCAAGACAATGTCAGTAATTAGTCGTAGGCGCGCGACCAGAACGACTATTTTGTTGACACACACGTAATCGATTGCAATGAAATGCAAAGTATTCTCAATGCGGAAATTTAAATTTTCAATGTCCTGCACATGGCATTTCATATTCCATTAGTTATTAATTCATTAGTAATTGCCTTTATTAGTTATCGTACCACGATACCCCTAGTTTATTGTTTTATGTACTATGTTCTGTCATGCACGAACAAAATAATAACCGCATAACATAGTGTCCATAGACACTGTTATCTAACGTGATGTCATTCATAGATTTGTTGTTATTTTTTAATCGTTGTTACAGTATATCAAAATATTTGTTGTTAAGTATGCAAATGTTACTTCATCTCGAGCATTTACTGTGGTTGCATACGTCTCTAGGTAGCTCTAAGGTAGCCATCACCACAATATGACAAGATACCGTAAATTATTTACATTGCATGCCTTCACCGTATGAATTACTCTATAGTTAGTATACGAGACCGACTTACTAGATGCCTTACGGTGTGATCGCGGCCTTTCCGGTAGACTGCTGGACACCTCGTCTTCCTCAGCTTCAATTAAGTCTGCTCCAAATGACCAGACAAAAGAGTGACGACATTATGAGAAAATGACATTATCTACTATGTACAGTTAGAATCTATGAGAAGTGATGATATTTCGTGAATTGTGCTAAAGTTCATACACGAGAAGCATGGATCATGCAAAACACGGCGCTCATACAATCACATGTAGTAATAATTGTATTGTTTTATTAGAGCTTACACATCAGCCGACAACTTACCGGATAAATGTTTTCTCGAAGAGTCGTCGCTGAGCTTCCTCAATGTGTCCGTGGAACTGCCGTCTATGACAACAAAAACAAAGATACATGAAGCAAAAAATAAAACATGCCGACAAAAAAATACGTAGGTGATACAGAATTATTTCAAGTCACATGGCGGAATTACGCTTACATGAATATGCTTACATTACACTCAACATGAATTCGAGAAATGATATTTTGGCATGTTCTATGATGATGTACATGTATCATATAGGCAGAGTTGTGGTCTGTAATATTATTGTTTATGTTGGTTAACGCCCACTTTAAATAAACATGGCAGAACTGGTACGTCCACAGATTTGAGTAGGCTTAGTAACTGTGGGTGACAATGTTTTTAAAGGTTTTGTTTAACAATTAAGAAACTTTTACGATAGAATTATATTACGAAATTGACAAATATTCATAATTCATAAATTGTGTGTGGATTATAGTGATATATATATCACATCAAATAATCAGAATAAAGTCCGAAAGCGGCGTTATCTGAATCGTTTTTATTCCGACACTTAACTTGAACTGATCAAAGCTACTATCAGACACGTGCGCACCCGGCCGACTGTTCCTCGCGTATGTCCGGCCCTGGTCGTCCAAAGCCGATTAATCATCAGAGTCAATTGCGCATCGGTTCGGCCTTGGGTTGAGCGTGGGCAACATCATAACTGAGATGTGAGGCAAGTAGCTCATCTTCTGTCACGTCTATTATATTTATAAAATTTGTCAAGACTTACTTGAACCCTATAAAGTAGTTTTTAAGTATTAAATGTCGGCAAACTTGATTTACAATAGTGAATAATTTCATAATTGAATGTGATTCTTAACAGTTTAACTAAATGGTCGTGTATATAACTTGCAGTAATTTATTGAAAATTTCGATATTATTTATAACAGTAATCAAAAGATTGCAATTAAAGTATGTACAATTGTACAGATGCAAGCGTCACGCACCTGATTGTAAAACGCGTAACTTTGTCGCGTAGCTGCATTTTGATTTTTAATTGCTCATTATTATACTATCACATTACAGAAAATAAAGCTATTATAATATAACGTCTTAATGGGTATTTATAAAACCGGCAAAAGTCGAGATGTTGAAACAAACACATAAGATGATAACGTCTAACTACATTCAACACAATCAATAAAATAAGCCTGTCCTGCTATAAATTACAGTGTGGCGCAGTGCACTGCTGACGTTCTCATAAATTATAGGAGTCTTTAATAGACTACAGCTAGGGGCTCCGTTTGATTATATTCACAGTTGCAAAGTTTCCCATTGCGGATTTCATAACATGGCACGCAAACAGTTAAACGCAATACTGAAAAACATCGCTAAAATTTACTAGCTAATCGGCACTTGCGTGAATTTATAAAAACTGATAACGAGTGCTATAGGGGACCATCCCAATTTATGAATGGCCCCTAGTTATAAACGTATAGAAATCTAAAAAAAGAAGCCGAATGAAAAATGGTCAGATGCCACTAAACTACTTAAATGATCACGTTGACATCACCGAAACGTTTATCATCAACATATGATGCGGAAACATTAGGTTTTATCATTTAGTTCTTATGTTATTTCAAATAAAATATAATTAGTATGATTAACATAACAAGTCAGATTTTCCCCGTTTGTCCGTCAAACTGACTTCTATTGTCATGTAAAGGCGACAATTTGTCATTACCATTGTAGACATTCTATACCAATGTTATAGAGACGCAAGTGACAAGGACGCTTGTTACAAATGTAAAAGAAGATATCGAATCAACATTAATACTGTATTGAGAACCTGTTTAAGATAATATATTCATATTTTATTTAATCAGTTAATTATCAAACAAATCGGTTGTGTTCTAAAATAAGAGAGTTCATACCAAGATCAAATATGCGGCTGTCGAATTTCGAGTACTTAATTTTTTTCCGATGGCGCAAACATCACGTCCTAGGTTATCAGAAAAACGTCTTAGAGATTTACCGCTTTCTTATTGCAATAGTACATCATAAGACAACACAAAGGGAACATAGGTTAATTCATTATTATTTTAAAAAACGTAAAATCAATTTTAAAAAACGAAAAATCAATTTGGCATTTTTAAAGGTGTTAAACTGAACATCAACAGCAAAAACAGTTCGTTTCAAACTAGTAACATAAGTTAAAAATTTCAGGTAAAAATAATTAGAACATAATTTTTTTAAAGACAACGCCCGCATTAAGAACATATTCTGTGTCTTGGGGGAATTTACAAGCATACATGAAACGAACACAAAGAACAGCCAGACTCAGAACAGCAATTTGTGGATCACACAAAGAGTCGTCCCATGTGGGGATCGGACCCACACCACTCAGCGTAGTAGTGAGTAGTGTGGCGACCGCTTAAACCGCTACGCCATCCGTGCAGTCAATACAAACAATATTGCGAGTACATAAAAATATCGCGGTAATAGTAAAATACGTAGTTTCACGAGACTCCAAATTAAAAACATGTTTTAATTTTACAAACTATTCTTTATAGAACAACACTGAAAACATTAGCCTAATGCTCGTTTAGGGGGAAGTCCCCTAGTGCCGGACACATAAGGTTTTCAGGAAACAAAATTAAAACTACATCGAGAAATATGTATTTATTTATGAATTACTTAAATTAACAAAACATAAAATCAAAATCAAATAACAAAAATACAAATTCTGCGTAAACATAGTTTAGGAATGTTAAATAAGTTTTGGTAAAAAAATAAAGGACTTTGACATTGGCACCTAGTACCGGACGGGTTAATCTTCAAACCCCAAGCGCCGGACATTCTAAAACTTTTAGCATCTATCACATATGTAGGCATCTCCACATTCTGGAACGTCTGCACATGCTTCATGAGCCCATTATTGGCATCTGGAGCATTGTATCCAGTCCTCGTCGTGGTCTTCTCAACACACTACACAAGTCGTTTTTCCTATATTTGATACTTCAGTTAACGGCTCCTTTTTGTTGTCGTTATTGCCACGTTTGGTTTGTTTACTCATGGGGAATCTTCATAGCTTCAGCCAAGTCGTAAGCTAACTTCAAAAACTCGTTTTTCATCAGGGGCAGACATCTATTATACAAATCTCTTATGTGGTCCACTAAAACTTGCTCATACTCGAGTGAGAAGGTTTTTGTGAATCTACCAACTTTTGGTTGCAACGTGACTTCTTTTCCACTGCTCAATGTCGTTATTTTATCATGTAGAGTACTTTTTCGAACATTGTAACGTGACGAAGCTGCCCTCAAACTCATTTTTTTGGACAAAATCTTGTTCATCGCAGTTTTTAAACTTTGCTGATCCCATTTTCCTTTTTTTTTTCTCTCTTGCATTTTCAAATATCTCTCTCCTTCTATCCTGTAAAACAACAAACAATCATCATTACAATAAGTACAAATGCTTCATAAAAAAGCTAACCTATAAACTGTCCGGTGGTAAGGGACACCTTTGTGTCCGAAAGTAGGGGACAGGAAACGTCCAAAATTACGTATTTCATACTAAAACTGTTTAGGTATTTAATAAAAACTTTCACAATATAATAATTATAGTGAAACACTGTCTTTATTAACAAATAACAAAAACAATTAAGGATAAAACCATAGCAGTAATACTTACTTGAAATTTACGTGACGCAACGCTTTCCCACCAAAAACATCAATTCACCGCTTCCACCACGACTGTGCGTCTCACTGGCAAATCGCGTTGCGTGATCCTGTCTCGCTACGTTCCCCCGCACCCCTTTCACCGATTTATAAATAGATCGCGTTGACGTTTGTCAAAATAGTATGAGTGTCCGGCGCTAGGTGCCGTCCGGCGCTACGGGACTTCCCCCTATTTTATCAGGTCATACTGCCGCCTAATCCGTCTAACAGGGACGGACTAGTAACACACATACCGATTACAGATTTAGGGCGCTCACGAGCGGAATTACGATGTTGATATTTATAATCCTATGGCAGATAATGAAAGGTTCTATTATGGTATAAATGTTATGCAACCGAAGAGAAACGGAACTGCGGTGCGTCCGACAACCGGTTGTTGCATGCACTAATGCGATCTTTGAACTTTGTACAGTTGCAGCTTGTAGAGAATGTGTTAAATAGGATGGTACTGAGTATTGAGCATTAATTTGTGATTAAGTTTCGTGTTTCTAACTTTGAATATTGTTCCCCTCAGAGGTGCTTACAACATAAAAAACACCAGCTGCCAAAATTTCAAGTTTGTAGCCCCAGCAGTTTAGACTTTGCGCTGATGAATCGGTCAGTCAGGGTTATTAATTTAGTTGTTTATTTATACATAGTTTACTTATAAAATATTACACTGTACAAAAAATCTAGAACTTACTAATTTCCAGTTCCAATTTATTACCAAATTTATTTGTTACTTCTAAATTATAAAAATTCAATGTAATTTGCCAATGTTTACTGTGAAACGACAAAATATCTATATTTGTTATATGTTGATTGCATAACTACGTGTAACTACCAAGAAACTGTGATCAGTCAGCACAGAGCCAGCAATGTAGGTCTGTATGTAATACTTGTCAATTGAACTAACCAACGTGTGAATCGGGCTTTATTCAAGACATTCAGCTACATCGCAAACAGTGGAAAACGACAAACACAAACATAAGAACGAAAAACATTGTACACAAATATGATGTAAGTTCTATAATAAGCATGTTTATTATTTGTCCATTTTATTAACACGCAAACTATTACCTACCAACAAAACCATGTCGAGGGATTTTCAAACTATGACATTGCTTTTTGGTCAAGTTCAAGTTGAAATAAGTACCTACTGTTTGAGATAAAAACAAGCAACAAGAAAACAAACATTTGTTCAATCTAGCAAATATTTTTTGCAGCCTGTGTGTTGATTTCGCGCTTTGTTTTATTAGATAATAGCCTAAAGCCAAACCAAAGCTAATAACAGTAAGCAGTTGCTTAGTGTATGGGTTTTTAAACTTTCTAGGCTCCAATATTTATGGGAAGGCAAGACAAATTAG